GTACCTAATTGGCACCTTCGGGCGCTCAAAGGGATGCACCAAGCCAGTGCCGTAATCCGAATATTATCCGGTTACAATCTTGATATTCTGTCGACCACACGTCCTTGACGCCCTCTCTTATCTTCCACAGCCAAGATGTACGGCGGTTGCCAGGCCCCATTCAATCGAGTAGGCATGGCTCGGCGGACTGCATTTGCAGCCAAGTATAATCTGCCACCGTTGTGCCTCACATGATGTGATGAGAGGTGTAGCCGTTCGATAGACGCTCCAAGAGGTTGACTTCTCTTGGCTTTCGGTAGTGGAACCACTGTTTTTTTGTCCGTAGACACAGTGGGAAGGCGCACGCACTATGTGCGCAGAAGGCGCCTATTGTAAAACGGAAAAACAGCAAGATCCTCCCTCTCAGTTATAGATAAATATCATGTGTATTCTGTCCAGAGGATTGTCGGTATTTTCTCTCACCACGGATCCAGAATCATCTGAGCACTGCTCTGGCTAAACAGGCTTGTTAAACATCTCCGCAATCCCTACTTCGTTCGCGTTGCTCGCAGAGATCTCGAGCCACTACTATGGCCTCGTCTCGAAGGGCTATGCAGCTCAACCCAGGTGCTGCCTCGTGGTGTGCAGATGGCTCCCTTTCCATCGACACGGGGCTGGTTGACAGATTCCATAGCCAGTTCCCCGGTGGCTCCTCCACAAGGCTCGTGCGGCTTGACGAGGTTGCCAATCATCTCGGCATCAAGGCCGTCTATCTCAAAGATGAGAGCACGAGGTTCGGCCTGCCGTCTTTCAAGATCCTGGGTGCCTCCTGGGGAACTTTTCGCGCCCTGGTCCAAAAACTTGAACTCCCTCTAGATGCAGATTTGGCGACCGTGAAAGATGCTCTGGCGCGTTCACCTATTCCCCTGTATGCAGCGAGCGAGGGCAATCATGGCAGAGCTGTGGCTAGGATGGGGTCTCTCCTGGGTGTGCCTGTCGAAATTCATGTTCCCTCCGATATGCCATCAGAGACGATGAAACGATTGGAAGAAGAGGGCGCCATAGTTTCCGTCAATGCTGGTACCTATGATGACGCCATGGGCACTGCTCGAGAAGCTTGCGCGGCAAGAGGCGGTCTCCTTGTGCAGGACTATTCCTTCGACGATTATAAAGAGATTCCCCAGGTGAGATTTCACATCTGCTGTGTCGGGTATAGTTGTGGTTTTCTAACTCTCACCGTACACAGTGGATAGTGGACGGATATTTGACAATGCTGCGAGAGATTGATAGCCAGCTCAATGGTACTGAAGCCGATCTGATCATCTCTCCAGTCGGCGTAGGCTCTCTTGCACAAGCAGTCGTCTCGCATTATAAAAGAAAAGCTTGCAAGACAGCCGTCATGACAGTTGAACCTGACACCGCAGCATGTTTGTATAAGAGCTTACGTGCCAAAAAGCCTGTTCATGTTCAGACATATTCCACTATCATGGCTGGCCTGGACTGTGCTACCTTGTCGCCCATCGCATGGCCGTTGCTGAAATCTGGTGTGGACGCCAGTTTAACCGTGTCTGATTATGAGGCACATCAGGCCTCCCAGTATCTAAAATCTCGACACATATCAGCAGGGCCGTGCGGCGCTTCACCTCTTGCTGCTCTCAAACGCCTTACAAGGAAGGATATGGCTGACTTGGGCCTTGGACAAGATTCTGTGGTGGTTCTTCTCTGCACCGAGGGAAGCAGAAGCTATCGCATTCCCATGGACGTCTCCGTTGATGACCCTATAGCGTTGACCCAAGCTCTAGTCCGCATCGACTCTTCCAATCCAGCATTGGGGTCTGTGCCTGGTCCAGGAGAGACTGAGATTGCCCGTTATATTGGCTCTTGGCTTGAACACCGCGACATTGAGACTCATTGGATTGAGCCAACCAAGGGTCGCCCGTCCATTGTCGGTATTGTTCGAGGTTCAGGCGGAGGCAAAAATTTGATGTTCAATGGGCATATCGACACAGTCACAACGCTGGGTTATGATGATGACCCTCTAGGCGGAGAAATCAAGGATGGGAAGCTCTATGGACGCGGAGCCGACGACATGAAGTGCGGAATAGCTGCTGCCATGTCTGCCCTGGCGGCTTCCAAGGCCCAGGCTCTTCGAGGCGACGTCATATTTACTGGCGTGGCCGACGAGGAAGCGACCAGCATTGGCACAGAGCAGGTTCTTGAGGCAGGCTGGAGAGCAGACGGTGCCATTGTCAATGAGCCGACTGGCGAAGAAATAATCCACGCGCACAAAGGATTTGTCTGGCTCGAGGTCGATATCCATGGCCTCGCATCACATGGATCACTGCCTACAGTTGGCATAGACGCCATTACTCGGGCAGGTTATTTTTTGGTCGAATTGGACAGGTATTCGCAGAACTTGAGCAAAGGCTGGGCCGATCCCCTCTTGGCTCCAAGTGTCCATGCATCCACAATCAAGGGCGGTGAGGAGGAGTCTTCATATCCAGCATTGTGCACTGTGGTGATAGAGCGTCGAACTATTGCAGGCGAGTCTGTCGATTCGGTAACACGGGAGTTTCAAACTATTCTGGACAATCTCGCCAAGTCAGTCAAGGACTTCAAATATGACTTACGGGTAACTTTTGATAGGGCCCCTTTCAATATTGAACCCGAACACCCCTTTACAACACTTGTGGGCGGCGTTACCAGTGAGGTGCTGGGAAGAAAGACCAAATTCAGCAAAGGGCCGTACTGGACTGATTGCGCTCTGCTGGCTGACAAAGACATCCCCGTTCTTCTCTGGGGCCCAACAGGTGATGGGCTTCACGGCAAGGAGGAGTGGGTGGAAGTAGCCTCTATCGAACGAGTGGCCAGAGGATTGGGGATGATTGCACAAAAGTTTTGTAGCTAGGCCTTGGATTCTCTTGTGTCATTTCCAGCATACGTCAAGTGGACTTACATACACTCACGCATCCAGTTACACGAGGGGCAGTGGGGAAGGAGCGATGGGCAGATCGGTTGCAGGTCGCGACATTGCATTGGCCAGGTTGATACACATCAAGGTAGGCCTGCATTGCTATGAGTTTTGTGCATAGTCTGGTGGACATATGAGATAGTCTGCAGTATCCCTTCTGAATTCAAGGGCCAATAATACACGAAGTATGTGCATTCGGCCTCGGTAGCCAACGACCTAATCATAGACCTACGCCAGTCCAGATTGCCCAAACAGGATATCAATACAATAAACGCCGTTACATGCCGTCAGTAGGAACCTCAAAGTCCAGACTAGAAGGAAGTGATGTTGTACAATACCGCCTTCATCTTCTGCAGTATTTGACCAACGCATCGGCTACAAGGCGCCCAAAACGCTCCGGCGACTGTGTTGCGGCTTTTACAGGATCATGTATTGTAATCCAAAGGGTTCCCCAAACTATGCTGGCCACGCCGTCTTGAGACCCGGGCCGATACCCAAGCGTATGAAGAGCTTCATATACATGTCGCGTCAGTCGTCGGCGGGTAAGCGTACGCACGACAGCAGACATGCTCCCAACACTAGTGATCATAATCCACATTGGCTCTTGCCACGTTTTCTGAGCATATTTGGCCCGCTTCATTGGTGCCAGAGGGTGACCCCGAGGGTCGAAATAGCGGAGGTCGAACGGATGGACGATGTGTCGTGGACTATATGCTAACGTGGCGCTGAAATCTGAGGCAGCTCGGGATAGCTCAGAGCCTCCGATGAAGCGGATCATGCGTCCATTGTCGGGTTCGAGGCCATGTTTGAGAAGAAAGTCTCGGTTTTGGGGCGTGGTCAGGAGCTTGCCATCGGCCTTGACGAAGTTTTTTACTTCTTCAGGTATGAATCTCTTGACGGACTTGGATTTGCTAGGCTGTCGCTTAGCGCTCGGCGGTCGCATTACACTCGAGGCCGAACGCTGCATTGATGCGAACAGCCGCAAATGAGAGCTCCTAGGCAACGTCGAGCTCGAGACCAGAGGTCGCCAGAAGGCTCTTGCTATCGCCATGTGAAGTTGAGCTGAAATCCGGCCGCTAGTTTCATCTTTGCCACTTCGATGGTGGAATGAACAGACCTGGCGAGGGACGGGCTCGAATTGGGAAGCTCGTGGCTGGCAAATCGGCTGGAGCAGATAGGAAGTAATACTAGAATGAGTCGAGATTATCATGTGTGACAGAAGGACGTGTCGTCCAACCAACCAGACGTCACAATATTTGAAAACTGGGCCCACTACGGCGTACTCCGTAGTACCGGTGACTGGCTGCCGTACGTCAGGCACTGACTGGTAAGCGCCACCGGATATCAACGGGGTTGGTTATGTAAGCGCGTCCCTTCAGGTTTGACCAAGCGTCGCCTCTTCTGCTAGAACGAAACTCATTATTCTATTAAAGTAAAAAGTAATTAGGAGTGGAAGACACACGCGTTAATGGCATGAGACTTGGATGCCGACACCAACCCAAGTCATCTCGAAGCCAGCCCATTGTGGACCGGCGGAACACAGAGTTCTTGGTGCACCCACGCCCACAAGCCAGTAGCCCACAGCCCACATTGTCTGCGCCAATGTGCATGCAGCCCACCATTGAGTCATCGCAGGCGCACGCACACAGAGCCCAACGCCAGATGGCGAAAAATTAATCGCGTCCAAAGTTGGGAGGCGGACCAAAGTTGCAGACGGACCTGCGACGCGGGCCAAAGTGATTGGGAAGGAGCGATTCAAGCTCGGCGTCTGTACATGCACCCAAACACACAAAAATACAAATTCTCCACAGCACCGAGTGCCCGTCCATTCTGAAGTACTACCGCCCGGCCTAGTCCTCAAACTTGCCCACTTACTTAAGTAATAAGTCCCCTTCCACAACGCTACCGCCACCTTCAGACTTGACACCTCTCGATCAAAGAACGTCGCGTCCACACCTCTTGCGCTCAGCAAATCCCTTCCCGTGCGCGCAGCCGCCAGTCTACAACATCATCTCCATTGTAACGCGTATCGCCGCTACCACAGTCAAATATGCCTAAGAACAAGGGAAAGGTGCGTACTCAAAAATAAGTCCGGCCTCTTGCGCTGGTTTTGCCCCGCCCCCGCCATTGTGTGCCGCCGTATCTGTGTGCCTCATAGCAGGGACTGATTGCCAATACCCTCAAAAAAACACGCCATGCTGACAGTTATTGCAATAATAGGGCGGCAAGAACCGCAGACGAGGTACCAAGGAGAACGATGACCAGCGTCGAGAGTTGACCTTCAAGGAGGACGGCCAGGAATATGCCCAGGTTATCAAGATGCTGGGCAACGGACGACTTGAGGCCCTTTGTTTCGACGGCAGCAAGCGTCTCGCCAACGTATGTAACAATGCACCCAAACACCCGCTCATCAGTCCTCATGCCATGGAGATGGATGTTCGTGATTCAACATCATATATGGATCATGAAATGTTGATTCAGGCAAACATTTCCCGCCACAAAAACCAACATTGCCTCCTTTCTTATTTCCTTCTTCCATCAATCTACCTTACTAACTCGACTTCTTACAGATTCGTGGCAAGATGCGCAAGAAGGTCTGGATCAACCAGGGTGATATCATCCTCCTCTCTTTGCGTGACTTTCAAGACAACAAGGGCGATGTCATTCTCAAGTACACTGCCGACGAGGCTCGTTCTCTGAAATCGTATGGCGAGCTTCCCGAGCACGCCAAGATCAACGAAACCGACACCTTCGGTCAAGGAGAGGACGGCGAGGCCTACTTCGAGTTCGGTGACGCAGACTCAGAAGAGGACTCCGACGAAGATGAGAAGAAGAAGGAGGTCGACATTGACGACATCTAAGTCCCCAGTCGTCGTCATCTTGCCGTGCTCATCTTCTCATCGGCAAGACCGCAGAGTTCCGGCTCGCCACCCGGGCTCTACCACCGTTCACCACATCTCTAGCCCAAAGAAACAACAAAGAGAAGAGAAACAGGGCTGACCACACTTTTTGCCTTTGCCATTTTTCTGTGTACCTCTTTGGGTTCTCTTTGCCGTCTCAACTTGCGCGCGCGCGGTTTGACTCTTGTGTCACGAGTCCTCTTCCAGGTTGACCGTTCCGCCATCTCGCGCTGCGCGTGCGCCGGGCCGGCTGGGAGTTTGCTCACGGACACACACGCATCTACACTGTCTTCTCTCTCAACCCCTCTGGAAGCGAAAGAAGGAAAAAAAGGGAGTGTCTTGTTCTTATAATGTTACTTTATTTTGGCACTTGCACCCTGCCTCTTTTTTTTTTATCGATATTTGGTCTCCCTTGGGTCCCGCGACAGTTCTATAGCAGGAGTGGGGGTTTGGGGACCGCCGTGGTGGGAGAGACGTCACGGCGCGTCCATTTGTCATGTTTCTTTGAAGGTTCTTCAACTTTGTTGTCTTCTTGACAGTTATTATGAATATGAGCATCATGGCATTCCCTTTATCGCTTGTAGCGGGCCATCAGCAGTCTTTGCATGATAGATCAAGAAATTATGCCAACAAGATGAATCCACGAAAGCTAATGCCATATATGATCTTGAAGATTATCTGCTTTTTATTCTCCCTTTTGGTTATGTTTGTGTGTGTGTGTGTACTATGTAGAGACCTCGACCACCGATGGAAGAGCCACATGGTAAATGAATGATAGTTTCCCTCAACACCTCCTATTCATGCGAGCTACTGCTCGAAACTTGCCATGCTCGCAGCAACTCGACACTAAACGTGGCATACCACCTCTTCCAGCGCCCGAATACACAGGTCAAGATAATGCGTTATAGTGTCTCCGGATGACATTGTGTAGCGTCGTGGTTTTAATCCCAGTCATCATCATCACCTTCATCGTCTATTTGATGGTTAGTTTGCTGCTACAAATAGTACGTGTAGGATAATTCAAAACATACCACTCTTGGAAACTTTATCCTTTCTCTTTTTCAACGCAGCAGCTAAAGCATCCGCCATACCGCCGCCGCCGCCAGCAGCAGCAACTGCACCAGCTGGTGGACCAGCACCTCCTGAATCCCCACCTGCGCCGACCTGTGCGGCGGATCGGTCTCGGATTTGAGTTCTGTCAACTTTCTTCAAGGACCCAATACCACCCGCTTTTTGGATATCGCCCAGCATGGCGGCTCGACCCTTATCAGCTCCTGCTGAAGGGCCGGCTGGGATGCCAGAAGAGTAGCCTGAGTCGCGGTTTGGTGGTGGGGGAGGCGGAGGAGGTGCTCCGCTTGAAGATGGCATAGGCGGTGGCAGTGGAGGAGGGGGAGGAGCTGCCGAACCGCTGGACGGCATGGGCGGCGGGGGAGGAGGAGCATTTGATGATGGTAATGGGGGAGGCGGAGGGGCGCTTGATGAAGGCAGCGGCGGAGGTGGAGGAGCGTTTGACGAAGGCAAGGGGGGAGGTGGAGGAGCGTTTGACGCTGGCAATGGTGGAGGAGGAGGAGCGTTTGACGCTGGCAGTGGTGGAGGAGGAGGAGGAATACTAGCAGCAGCGGGAGGAGGAGGCATAGGTCTTGAACTCGATGGTGGGAGAGGCGGAGGAGCACTGCTAGCTGGTGGTACCTTGGGAGGCAACGGCGGAGGTGCAGGAGGTGCTGAGTGAGAGTCGTTTGCTCGAGGCGGAGGCGGGGGCGGCACCGGTCCGCGACTGGGAGTCGGGGGAGGAAGGCGTTGGCCGGTAAAGGCGGGAGGAACGGAGAACCTGTGGCTAGAATTCTCGGGTTCAATAGGTGTCTTGGCCGGGCGAGGAGGTGGGGGAGGTCCCGGTACTGATGCTGTTGATGATGAGACCGTCTTCCGCCTCGCCTGCTCGACATTGGCGAATTTTCCTGCATCTGGCAACGGCGGAGGAGCGTTGAACTTGGGACGTGGAGGAGACGGCGGAGCTGGAGGAGGGCTTGCCTCTCTTGCTGGTCCATCAGCTTTAGCAGATCGTCTCGGGGCCGGTGGAGGCGGAGGAGCTCCGCGTTTGGTAGACGACGCTGATGACGAGGCACCACCTGGAGGGGGAGGTGGTGGTGGTGCCCTAGCACCCTTTGAATCTCCTCCATTCGTAGGCGCAGAAGGCGGCGGCGGCGGCGGCGTGGGTGAAGGATTGTTCAACTTGGCTTGCTCCTGTCGCAAGAAATCGACAATAAACTCTTGGTTATCCTTAATAAAGTCGTCAGTAAGACCTTTATCAGTAAGGTCCTGTCCAAAATGCTCCCTCCACAACGGATCAAAGGCATCCAGCAAGGCAAACTGCGAGGGTTCAATGCCCCCATTCATATTTTGCGAGGACGAAGGCGAGTGGTGAAACGGATGGGGCAATAGACTGGGCCTCGTTGATTCTGTTGGCGACGGAGCAGACGAGTGGCGATGACCAAAAAAGCTTCCCAGCAAGCTGTGCTTGTGGACAGGTTGCGAACCTCCTCCAAAGGGTGTTGATTTCGTAGCTCGGCTTGCGTTCTTTTCTCGCTCATCCATCTTCTTTTTGAACTGCTTGGCCTCCTTTTCGTCAACAAAGCTTAATCCGGCTAGGCAGTCTTCGAGTTCAAAAGTGTGGAAAAAGGTACGATCCTGGTTGTAGTGCCATGTGTCGTAGATTTCTTGATCCCAAATGACGCCTCGGTTGGTGGGCTGTTCGAATAAATGTATGTTAGTATAGAGGTGACAGCACAACTGAAAAAACATCAGAACATACGGAAATGTCCACCATCTTAAGCCAGTAGGTGTTGCCAACCAGGTCATTGGCCAGCACGATGGCGCCTTGCATGCCCGAGTAGGTCCATTTTGATCGGTTTGGATATGCGACGTAGAGTCTAGCGACTCCAACCGCATGGATCTTGTTAGACTGTTTGGGGACGAACCGCTTAACGGTGTCCTTGTCGTCCTCGTTGAGTATCGACGGCATGGCGAAGGGAAGATTGGTCTGCTAATAGGCTTTTCGTCGATGCTGATTACTCGAGCGGGCAACGAGGGAGACAAGATGGCTCTTTAATACTGTGAGGGCGAAGGAGAGAGACGATATGAGGACTCATGTACGAGGCTCTACTATACGGCGTGGGATGACGGTTAAGAATTGGGTCCTGCCGTCATTCGGGGCGGCTGCGGTGGGAGATGGTGTTGAAGTGCTGAAGTGGTTGGTCGTGGGCCGGCGGATGCGTGCGGCTACTGGTGAAGTCTGGGGCCTGGCAAAGGCAGCCGTGTAGCCGAACGTCTGCCTATGGCGGTTACGCCGGGCGGAGACAAGGTGGCTGTTGAAGGATGGCACAATTCCTGATGGTATGGTTCGCAGGAATTGACGTCGCGAGCCGCGTGAAGTGAGGTGAAGTTGGAGTGAAGACGGGTTCGGTGACAAAGTGTGTCTGGGATGGTACGTCTTTGGCTGGGTGGGGGGCAGCTGAGCTGAGCAAGCACTTGAGCACTGTTCTGGCGATTGAGGTCAAGAAGTCAAACTGGTCCACCGGACCTGACGGTGGGCGGTGGAGCTCGGACCAGTTGACGGCTTGGAGGCCCCGGGAGGGACATGGACTCTTCGATGTTCACATACAGCCACCACCAGACCAGACTCTACATCTTGGGGCATATGGAGTGCCCCGGACAAGGAAGGAACCAGACGCAACATTGACTGGAACATCGGGCACCGCCACGCAAGGCAACACATGTGCATGCCACTCAAGGGTCGAGAGACGCATCAGGACTGGCGTCATCAGCTGCACAAATTCAACGTCATCAAATCTCATTGCGCGGTGCTCCATGTTGTTTTACAATAGTATTTGGTGCCCTCTATGCATTCAACTCCTTCTTTCTCGCCTCGCGCTCTGCCTTGCTGCCCTCCTCGCTTGGCATATCCTTTGTCAAGGCTGGGCCCGGGTGAGCTTGGTGCGGAGCCACCTTGGGGTCAATCCCGTGCTGGACGGGCTGCGTGGTGAACTGCTTCTCCTGTTGAATTTTTTTTTAACATATATACGGCCAGAAAACGACGATGACGGTCGCAAAGACACTGCACGGGATGGAGAAACTTACGCTGTCGGAGCTCGAGGTGGCCTTGTTGACTGCTTCCTTGACCTTATCCATGGTGACGAATGACGATGCAGGGTCTGGCGTTTGATTGGCGATGGTTTATACCGAGTACGTACTCTATGTATGTTTCAAATGCAGAATCAGTAGGTCCGGGATCACGGAGTGCTACTAGACAAAGAAAGCAAGAAACTGAAAACGGATTCAAAGGGTTGCAGCGAGTCTTATTTGTAGTTTTGGAAAGTATGAAACTGGTCCCGCTACCACCAAACATGCCGATTAATGGATGACGTCGGGCCACCGAGGAACCGTCAAGATGGGGGGAGGCAACTGGTAGCCATTGGTGCTCAATGCTCAAGTTGCTCCCCTCGAGATACTTGACCGGCGTAAGCCTCTTTGATGGGCTTCGTGGAGCACTACGTAATGACTGGTCCCAAAGTTGTAAACTCCCCTTTGTTCCTGCCTGTCGCGTGCTCAGCCTGCACGACATCACCACACAACCAAGTCCTGGCACAAACCAATCGGCTCAACTACCCGACCGAGCCTTCTACGGCAGAGCCATAGCTATTGATGTTGAGAGCACGTTAAGGGGCCTATCAAATGAAGAGTGTGCCACTCGTGATACAGCCGAGGCCCATTGGTTCGCTAGGTTGTGGGAGGCAACTAGCACTGCTTCCTGGAAGATGGCGAGATATATCAACAGCGAAGCGGCAGCTAATGAGGTTTTGATTCTTTTCAACTGATTCAAGTTTGATGTCGAACAATTTCCCAGAGTTTGCTAGTGGCATTATCTGAACACGGTTTCCGCCGAGAAAAGACATCATCAATTACCAAAATATTCACGAATCGTCGTCACAAACTCACCGAAAATTACGGTACACTTTCTCTAAGAACAAAGAAACAAGTCCCCCCACCTTATTGCTTGCATTCTTAGAACGCCAGTTGTACAACCAACAAAATTAGATTTTCTCGCTTACAGAGTCCCCGTCCGCGTAAAATGGCCGCCGCTGAATGGCGGCCATCATCACATCGAATAGCTCTAATATTGTTGATAAATCACAACAATAAGTGTATATATATATGACCATGATACCACGTCTCTGTCCTTCACCTCTTTGAAAGACATGGTCAAAATGAGCACTTCACAAGAAAAGCTCGTAGTCTACACCCTGGACGGCGCAATCAATGACTTCTTCAAAAGTCACCTGAACGTAACCCGAAAACAGTGCGATGTCTTGGCTGCTTCTATTGTCGGTGAGCCCGTCGAGCCTGTGCCCATTCAAGGCTCATTCAGCTACACAGTCACAGCGGGAAATGATCAAGCCAAGATTGTCCAATTCCGATCCCCAGAGTCGACATTAGACACCAACACTCTCGATCTAGCCAGAAATGTCCACGGAAAGCTGGTCCCAAGTCCCATCTACCATGGCAGGATTGGGCATCTCCCATCACAGCTTTATGTCTATATCATGGATAAGATACCAGGGAGTGTTTATGTCCAAGCGCAATCAGACTACCATGTTCCTGTAGGGACCTCGTTGGAAGCCTCCCTCCAACACGCCAATACCGTAGCGGACATTGCAAGGTAAAGATAATTAGTAACCAAGGTGCAAAACCAATCTGTCTCTTGCGCATTTCTGACACCAAGCATAGGTTCTTCGCTCAGTCGTGGAACAACAGGCAGACTACCACTGCCGACATCGTTCAAGCCACTCACAACGACTACCGACAGAAACTTCAGCTCCTCTCAGAAGCTCTTCCCTCTCGATTCACACAGAACCTCCAAAAGGCCATCGGTGGTCTGGAGTTGCTCTTCACGCCGGAATACCCCTGGGTTCTCGGCCACGGAGATCTCAGCGCACTGAACATCATGACGGAACCTTCTACCGGCCACATCACGGGGATTATTGACTGGGCTGAAGCACAAATCCTTCCGTTTGGCATGAATCTATGGGGTCTCGAGAACGTACTAGGCTACATGAACTCCGCAGGCTGGCACTACTACAGCAATCACCGGGCCTTGGAGGAGCACTTTTGGCAGACTTTCCAAGAAAATGCCATGGGTATCGGCGCTGCTGAGATGCAGTGTATTGGGATGGCAAGGATGACAGGTACCTTTCTTCGCTATGGCTTCCGCAGGACTCGGGGCTCGGATGTGGTAGATGAGGGTTCTTCATCTTTCAAATACCTCGAGGCATTCTGCTGCAGCGAATCTCGGGCTTAAATCATATACGCAGAGAAGCTATAGCCAGAGTAATTTTTCTTCTTCAAGTAGCAGTTTCTTCACTGTACGTTCTCATCTCCTCTGCGAGCAAGTACCCTTCAATATTATAAGACAAGTCCAGTGCAACGTAAGCCTGCTTGGCTTGAACTGGTGCGATTTGAGCATGGTGCGCTCAAGTTAACTGTACCACGATGGCCTTTAAAAAAGACTATTTGAGCCGGTTTGTTTGATAATAAATGTCAACTGGTATGTAAAATGAGCCGTACTTTACTGCTGAATGCTGTCTGGTAGCAAAAGGCCCTACAACTTAAGGGGCTAGTAGCCTGACCTAGCACTGTTCAAATGGTGGCAAGTGACATCGGAGCTTCTGTGGGAGTGCTGAGCGTAGCGGCTAGACCAATCAGACTCCGCCCTTGCTTCTGCGGAAGACTAGAACTGCACTGAGCCACGGCGCATTCAAGCCCGCTTCATTGAATGTTCACCAAACCAGACCGAATCTCACCATCATCCATTCACACATTCACATCCACCACATCACCCGGTTGCCCGCATGTCTGCGAATAATGCCCCGCAGCCAGTCAAGCTCTCCTTACCCTTGGTATGCTACTCTCAATTTGATGTGTGACTAAAAGACTGCACCGCATTTGCTGACCCATCTTTACCGCAGGAGTATCAACAGCATCTCTTCCAAGAGCTCCGAGCAGAAGATGAGCTCGTCGTGCTGGCCCGTGGCCTGGGGCTGATGCGCCTCGTCACAAACCTACTTCACTCCTATGACGCAGCCGGAAATAATCTCATAGTCATTGTAGGTGCCGAAGAGCGTGAAAATGGCTGGATTGGCGAGGCATTGGCCGAGCATGCCGCCATCAGCGCTGCTCCCAAGGCCCGGGGCTTGACAGTTGTGAATACCGACTTCCAAAGTGTCGGTGCACGCGAGAAGATGTACGCCGGAGGCGGCATATTCAGCATCACTTCGCGTATCCTAGTTGTCGACCTTCTTACCGGCCTGCTGGATCCAGAGTCAATCACGGGGCTCGTCGTGCTTCACGCTGATCGTGTTATCGCAACTTCACTCGAGGCCTTCATCCTTAGAGTGTATCGGCAGAAGAACAAGATTGGGTTTCTGAAGGCGTTTTCCGACAACCCAGATCCTTTCTCTACTGGCTTCTCCCCGCTGTCGACCATGATGCGAAATCTGTTCCTGAAAAGGGCATCGCTGTGGCCGAGATTCCACGTCACTGTAGCACAGTCTCTCGAAGGCAAGAAGAAAGCCGAAGTCATCGAGTTGGAGGTCCCCATGACGGATTCGATGACGCATATTCAAAATGCCATCATGGAATGTGTTGAAGTCAGCATCCACGAGCTCAAAAAGGGCAACTCGGGCCTTGAAATGGACGACTGGAATCTCGACAGCGCTTTGCTTAAAAACTTTGACGTCATGGTCCGACGACAGTTGGATCCCAATTGGCACCGTGTGAGTTGGAAAACACGGCAGATCGTAAACGATCTCACAGTGTTGCGCGGTCTCTTGACGTCCGTCCTGGCATATGACGCTGTGTCGTTTTTACAGCATCTTGACACCATCCACGCAGCGCACTCACCTCCGCCTGGATCTTCGAGACAAAATCAGTCACCTTGGCTATTTTTGGATGCCGCCCAAACCATATTCGACACGGCGCGAAGGAGGGTGTATTCGGCCAGCGCAAAAACAATCTCACAAAGTGGCGATAATATCGACTCTTTGCGGCCAGTCCTCGAGGAGCTTCCAAAGTGGGCTCTGCTTGCTGAAGTGCTCGAAGAGATTGACAGAGATCTCTACTTTGAACCACCTGCCAGAGACGACTCAAATGGGACTATACTAATCATGTGCTCAAATACGGATACCTGTAGACAACTCCGCGACTACTTGCAAACAATGCACGTAAAGCCCAGGGTCGCAACTCCCACCACCACCACGGAAGATGAAGAAGATGCCCACAAACCATCGGCTGCTTTCATGATGAGAAGACGTCTACGCAGCTACCTAACCTGGAAGCGACAGTTCGCCCAAGTCAGCGCAACGCTCTTCTCCGAGAACCAAAAGGCCCTCAACGGCGCAGCTGATTCCCGACCTGGCCATGCTGGCATGGGCCGTGGTAAACCTCCGTCGAACAAGAGGAGACGCGTCCGTGGCGGAGGTAACGCCGGTGTCTCGGCCGGGCGGACCGACACTGGTGTTATTGCGCAGTACTTTGAGAAGCCAGGCGAAGTGGCCCATCTCATGGCCGAAGTCCAGATCACGGAAGAAGAAGCCCAACAAAAAGACGACATCATCGCCGACCCACTAGACAACATGGAAGATTACTATCAGCTGTACGAAATGCAAGACCTAGTCGTGGTCCACGCCTACGACGGCGACCAAGACGAGCACGTCCTCGAGGAAGTCAAACCCCGATATATCATCATGTACGAGCCAGACGCCTCCTTTATTCGAAGGGTAGAAGTCTACCGTTCGTCACACAATGACAGAAACGTCCGTGTCTACTTCATGTACTACGGGGGTTCGGTCGAAGAACAGCGCTACCTTGCATCAGTCCGTCGAGAAAAGGACTCGTTCACAAAACTGATCAAGGAACGAGCAAGCATGTCCCTCGTCATGACGGTCGACCCTCACGGCATCGAAGACCCGCAAGAAGCGTTCCTCCGCACAGTCAACACGCGAATTGCAGGCGGCGGACGGCTCGCAGCGACAGCCCAACCGCCGCGCGTTGTAGTCGACGTTCGAGAATTCCGCTCCTCCTTGCCATCCCTCCTCCACGGCCGGTCCATCGTCATCGTGCCCTGCATGCTCACAGTCGGCGACTACATCCTCTCGCCCAACATTTGCGTGGAGCGTAAATCCATCAGCGATCTCATCTCGTCCTTCAAGGACGGGCGTCTCTACACGCAGGCAGAAACTATGTTCCAGCACTACAAGTCCCCGATGCTGCTCATCGAGTTCGATCAGAACAAATCCTTTACGCTGGAGCCCTTTGCCGACCTATCAGGCAGCCTGAGCAGCGTGGCACCCACAAACGTGTCGTCCGACTTGCAGTCAAAGCTCGTCCTGTTAACACTCGCCTTCCCCAAGCTCCGCATCATATGGTCGTCATCGCCCTACCAAACCGCCGAGATATTCGAGTCTCTCAAGGCGCAAGAGGATGAACCGGACCCGATTGCAGCGGTGCAAGCAGGCCTAGACAAGGACATGAAGGCGGAAGACCAGGCGTTCAACCAGGAACCGCAAGAGATGCTCGCCAAAGTCCCTGGCGTCACGCCCAAGAATATCAAAACCTTGGTACTAGAAACAGAGAATATCAAAGAGGTGGCAAACATGTCAGTGGGAGACCTGGAGCCCATGGTTGGAAAAGTCGCCGGCAAAGCCATACACGGATTTTTCAACCGCAACGTCATGGAAGAAGACGACTAGAACAAAGGAGGCCACGGTCAAATCAAATAAAAAAAGATACCCATTAAGAATGGTAAAAAGAAGAAGAAGAACTAGGGTATAAACGTCGTAACACGGGTGGGTATCGATGGTACCACCACCTTCCAAGCTCTGATGCCAATCCCATTCCTTTCCCCTCTCCCCAACCGTCGCAATCAGTAGTAGACGCACTACACCCTACTCCTCCTCATTCCTCCATGTCGATGTCCGCCTCCTCTCCGCCCGCAGTAGCCGCAGGTCAGGAACCGCACAATGATGCCGCAGAAGGACACCACGCCGCTGATGATAGCCTGCAGGATGCCGCCGATGCCGCTGACAATTGCCATGATGCAATTGCCTATCGTGGCGAAAATAGATTGAATCTACAAAGCAGGCCGTCAGCTGCGCTCTTCACAATAGGGAAAAAGAAAAGAAAAGAAAAGAAAAGTCCGACTCACGCAAGAGAGTACGCCGCCCATGGTGACAGTGGTAGATTTTGCAGAATGGATGCTTTCAACAGCGTCAAAGTTGGGTATGTCTTCCAAAAGGCGATGGCTGGATTAGAAGGGAAGAGTGAAAAAAAGAAGAAGGCAGGAAGCCGTCCGTCACGCAGGTACGAGCAAATGTTTTTATACCACGTCACTTACACCTCACCTCACCCAACCTCGTTCTGCCCAAGCAGCCCAAACACGCCGACTGCCGACTGACGTCAACCCCCAGGAAAACACCCGGCACAGAAACCCCAGATTTAGAAACACAAAAAAACATGGGCATGGGGGGGTTTTTTTTTCTTTTTCGCTATCCGTGTTCCAGGCCGGTGCATTCGCTCCGGGGCTCGCCCAAACAGGCAGCTGTCAGCGGTTCAGGGGACGCGGCCGACCACTCAGCGTGCCGCGTTGCGTCGAGAAGCTTGTTTTGGGAAGTGCACATCAACCATGACGCCAGAGACTTGGCTCGTCCTGAACCGTTTGCAACAGGGAGCCCCGGGTGCGGGAACAGGTGATTGGCTTTTTTGGAGACAATGTCCTGTACGAAGAGGGGGCGGCGATGTGATGCACACCGTTTGGTGGCGCGCGTGGAAGAGCAAGTGCGCCGTTACAGATTGTTCGATGGTCGTGGGCATGACGTCAGCACGCGGCAAACGGCGACATGGCACGTTTATCTCGCTGCGGTCGGAAAGACGGTCAAAAGGGCCTGCCTTAGATGTTTTCCATGTTTTGCACTTGCGGAGGAAATTGCGCGGCGACTCTCTAGAGGCACAGACCCAGCTACTTGTAGGGTGCTAAAGACCAAAGAGGAGGTCTATGGTAACCCTATCACTGCGTGGGTTACACCATACCACACTCACGCTCGAAACCCCTAGGGCCTTTTTTTTTGGCCATTTGATGTATATCATTATTGGGAGATCTTCTAAAACTCAGGGCTGATGCGAATCCCTATGTACATGTCACGGGTATCCTACTTCCAAATACGCGCCACCGATACCATGGAGGCAAAGTATACGCTCATAAGAACCCACCAGGTAGAAATCCCGCTCGTAAGAGGAATGAAAGGGAGAAACAAAAACCAGTCAACGCCATCTATATGCCTGTACAGTCGTATGTCGCGGGGTGAATATATGTACTCGCTCGTTTACATGGTCCACTTAGGCCTTCCAGAACGTAAGCCAGCTTCTCCGCGCCGCCATGGCCTTTTGCATGTGCGCCCGACGGAGCATCTCCCTGTTCCTAGAGTCAAGAAGACCCAGCGCACTGTCGTCGTGGTACTGGTACTGGTACGGATACTGGTTGCCGCGAGGAACGTGTGGCCGCTCGTTGCGCATCATCTTGATGCGCTGCACCTTGCGCAGCTTGATCAGCCCGTACCAGCACACCATGATGGACGCGACGGTTGACATGCCCGTGACGGCGCCAAAGCCCCAGTTTGTTTCTTCGATGAAGTTCTCCAGGTTCATGCCGTACAGGCCGGCGAGGAAGGTGCCCATGGCGAGTCCGAGGGTTCCCACGCTGAATTTGAGGTCTAGCAGCATGAGTGCATTGCGGTTGGCGTCGAGGATGGCGCGGACGCTGTCGGCGTGTTAGCTACGTGCCTCTCCAAAGAGAGCAGGCCTTGTGCCACTTACATTTCCTCCGTGTTCCTGATTCCAGACACCAGGTTGCCGGCCTCTTGCACGATTTCGTCGGTGAGCTTGTGATATGACTCCAGCAGCATTTCCACCTCGGTGTGGTCGTCTAGCCCCCTGTACAAGTCGTGTGTCTTCTCGGTCAAATACATGGCCGCTAGGTCGTCATCCGCCTCGAGGAGTTCCTCAATGGCGTCTCGGACCAGCTTGGCCTTTTGCTCAAACGTGCTCACTCGCTTCGACAAGATGAGGAGTATGCGCAGCTTGTCTCGGTCAATGTCGTCTTCTAGTTCGCTGAGAATGCGCATAACTGGTTCTCGCACGGCCTCGAAATCGGCTTCCATTTCCGACGTCACGGATGTCAACACAGCTTCCAGGGCACGGAACTCGTAGGGCAGGCTGTTGGAGCCTTGGGCCGTCTTTTGCTGCAGTTTCCCCTGCAAGTCATACATAAATGCAGACTGCGGATACGATGTCTTTGACCCATATACATCGAACAGGAGGACGCGGTCGTGCTTGATGAGGACCTTCAAGTGCAAAAGGTTAAGGAGAATAGCCGAGGGTCGGATGAGGATATGCGGCAGGTTGGAGGAGTCGATTTTTCGAAGATCTCGGGGGTTGAGCCCAAACTTTTTTTTTTTCGTAGTTAGCTATGCGCCTGAGGATGTTTGAGTGCCGTCATTGCCTTTACCTTTGCAATCAGCTCCGTCTTCTTAAACTCCCCATCCACGAGGATAACTTTGCCATTCTCATCCACTTCGGTGCATCGTAGCCGAGGCTCCAAAGCTGCCTTGGCGGCCAAGGCCCGGCGACTAGTAAACATGGACGAGCCATGCTCAAAGTCGTCGTGGACTGGAAGGTCATCTGGCTTTAGCAGCTTGGGTCCCTTCTTGGCGCTCGTCCCCCAAAGCTTTTCCTGCCATGTAGGTTCGTTGCTTGATTTCGGCTCGAACAGCTTGCGCCCAGCTGCCGTGGTGCTAAATCCTAGCGTGGCCGATTTTGTTGGCGATCCGTTTTGGAGGGGATATTTGACGGCACGGAGACCAGAACCAACATGGCGCTGGCCCCCAGGCGTCGTCGGCAGTGAGCTGAGTGATCTGGCGCCCAGGGAATTCAGGCTCCCCGACGCTCTGGCTCGTCGACACACTCGAGTGCCAGCAGCTACCAAGCTATTCGGGCGGCCGTGGGCCAAGAAGGCGGCGTCGGACTGCAATTTCAAGAAGCGAAGGAGGTTGCGGGACGGAACAGGCGATGGCAAAGCTGGCTGCATCGCGGGCTGGTCTACCAACGAGATGATGCAGAAATCCAGGGGTCCAGCATCGGACGCGACGACAGCGGCGAGGGCTAGCCGTCAAAACCTGGAACGTTATCAGGATCTGCCGTGATGCAGTCGTCTCGTCCAGGTAGGAGAAATATGAGACTCGGTGGAAATTAATTTAGTACCTCGCAACATCGGAAATGCACGGGCTTAGCGCGTCTCTTTTTTTTTTAACTGGCTGGACGGCAGGGGGTCCTTCGGGGCCCTTTTAGCCTGCGCATGTGCAGCCACCTGCCGATCCATTCAAACTCCTCCGTTCTAGACACACTTGACAGCATCGCAGTCATCTTGTACAGCTTCAATTGGCTTTTGGAACACCCTTCGTCTCAATCGAAAGCCCAGTATTTCGACGGACCTCCCACAAACGCCATGGCCTGAGCTCGGGCTTGCAGTTGTAAATTCCGACTCTGGGCTTTGTGAGAGGCAAACAATGGAGGATAATTTGCTCTCGGAAAATCGTCAACGTCGCGATGCTTCTGACTCCCGTGCACATAAGGGGCAAACGAAAGCGCGATCCGCCACATACGCCGTCTTCCGTGGCTGCTGCAAACACAGACAAGGCGCCAAAGAAGATGAAAAGATCGCTTGCGTCCCTCCGCGCCAGCCGCCTATCTCGCCATCGCACAGTCCTGGAGTCTCTACCTGCCGAGCTGCTGGAAAGCATACTCTTGTACTCGGAAAATCTCTCGCTTCCTCGATCAAGTCACCTGATTGGTGCCAAACTCTCTGGCCGAGCTACGCTGCTGCGATTGTTCATGCTGGCTTTCCACGACACCTGGAACCAGTGGTTTGGCATTCCCAAGACGCAGCTGCATGGGCCGAGACCAAAACAGAAAGAATGGGCGTCGTTTGATGGTGATGCCATGTTTCAGGTGAGAATGGAATCATTGGGCTTGTGCAGCTTTTCCTTTTCCTATTTTTTTTCCCTTTGTTTTGGACGAGCATGGCATCTAACCGATGTTAGTCTGCAATGCTGGAACTGCCTTGGGTAGATGTCGACTTCATTCTTCAGGCACAACAAACCTGGTCAGACAGATATGCTCGAGACAGATGGTATCAACACAGCGTCCCATTTGAAGACGGCTACGATCAGCTGAACCACGACCACCAGGGTGGATTCGCGCACTTCCATGCCCATGACTGCTTCGAGGCAGACTACAAGCGAGCACTTCAATGGCCAGCCTTCAAAACCGAGGCCATGAGCTGGGGCACACACGACCTACACCCAAGGGCTCACTTACCCGTGGATCTAATCACAGGCCCGTGGGACGAGGAAAAGAAACGGCGACTATTTTGGCTTACCCGTGGCGGTTTTCAAATGGGCGGCGAGGGTCAGAATCCAGTCCCTTGGGAAGTCAAGTTGAAATGTCTCGAAAATGCAATAATCAATGCAGAAGAGCCCGATCCACTCATCATCAATTGTCTAATTGGGAATTGGATATTCCTAGATTTACCAGAAGACATTGTGCGGAAACACCTCATTAGTCTCGACAGACGTCTCGAATGGGGAGCCGATGAGCCTGCGAGCAGGGCTATTCTCCGACGAATACGAAATACCCTCGACATGTTTATGCAGCTTCCACAATACCATCACATGCCGGCTTGACGCACGGGACGAAACGTAACTCAGCTAGCATTGAGCTTCGTCAGCCGCTGCCAAGAAACAACAGGTCGACAACTCACCTCTTTGGCTCATCACGACTCATTCAGCCCATCCGAGGTAGCCGGAATGTGGTTGTACGGCGGTCCCTATACTCAGTCGCTCGCCGGAGCGTGCTGGGAGTATCGTGTGATGTTCGCGTCCCACTCGCGTTATGCTCTCGGCATGCTCTCGGCATGCACGCACAGCATCGATTAGTTTGGCACTAATGACGCTGTTGGCTCACAATCTATCAGGCACCATCTCTTCATCCTGTGTCCTGGGGGTTGACGCCCTGCCTAGCCCAAGACTTCTCGCCGACGTGACTAACACGGCAAGGGGCTGAGACGGAAACACCTTCCAGACCGGCGGCAGACGTAACCAAGAGACCAGATTGAGAGGTTTTGTAATGAGTTTTGGCCAAGGCATGCGACTGGTCAACCATGTGTCGGGTTGTTTCCAGCGCACTGCTTATGGCGGCATTCAATACGTTCAACTCGTCCGCAAGGCGCACAGGTCAGCCAAGCGAGCAGACGCACCAACGCATTGATAAGTGTTCAAGTGTGGCAAACAAATTGGCTATAGACCAGAGTATTATGTTGGGCTGAATGGGATGTATGGAAAGTGAAGAACGTCAAGATCTCCCTATCGCGAGCTACGGGTTCAATTTCCACCTCATCTTTGACCATCTATCACGGATTTAAAATACCGCATAAAAGAGACGGCTAGTCCACAATACTACACCATAGATTCATAGCAATGTACCAAGGTGAAAACTGGTCCACTACCAGAATGCAGACTCCCAGAATCTACGCAGAGAAAAAAAAACGGCTTGGCCCGCCACGCAGGCAGCGAAACTACTAGCCGGACTGGATGGTCCTGATGGTCGGACAAGACGGCTTCACCAAGTGTCAACCCTGTCACGACGGCCTACGCCTCTGCCCGATCCAAGCCGGCTGCCTACAAGATGCAAGGAATCAGTAAATGCCAACTTATGCCCAGGAAAGATGATGCTGCCTGAAAAAAAGTACCCCAAGGCTCCATCCAGAGCCCACGTAACGCTCCCAACACCTCGCCACGCAAGGAGTCAGCACCAAGCCGCGATACTAGTCACCATCTGGCTGACGCACCCGCATCCCAGGGCATCAGAGCGAACACAAAAAAAAAATTGGCTCGTAGTTAATGTCACGCTGACTCCGGCGCAAGTCACCACCGGTCCGCCGCACGCTCGTCTCACCCCGTCGTGAACTACACCACCCACGGCGCCGCCAACATGTCACGCACACTCGAGGCATCACGATTCATCAGGCAATCAGGACTCTCTGTACAGAGTCAGAAATCGGCTGTTCCCACAGTTGAGCAGAGCATGACCTCCCCAGCTGCCGGGCTGCCGAACCAGGCCATGGCTGTGGTCAAGACCGACTCGAGCATAGAAAACAAGCTTCTTTTGTTCCTTCATCTCGACGAGTTGCACGCCCGTTGGATCATTGCGTTCTCCACTGACTGACATGAACCATTTAGATGAATCCACTATTTACTTAATGCGGCAAGTTCGCAGACTTGAGCAGCACCTGACTGGTGATGGACAGCGCCGCATGTCTCAGTGACTCACTCGGGAGCAACGGACATTGTCGTGGGTGGGAGGGACTTTTCCGTCCCACCTCCCCCCTTCCCGCCTTTCTGAACACTTGTCCAAGGCCAGGCTGGCCCTTTCGGCGTTTTCCGGAATCTTCACGATGCGTGGTGCGACCTTTTCCCAACCAGAGTGGCGGGATCCTCCCTTTGTGTAAGTCACACCACCTTTGAACGAATCAGTTGCAAAGTTGAGCCACTTGGTAAAGGATTCTCAAATCGTACACGTCAAAAAGCATTCAGGCAGGGGAATCAACTTTTTGTTTGAATTTCTCTTTTTGGCTCTTCTCCGCATGCCTCGGAAAGAACCTCATCTACCAACCTTGAAGCTGGCAAAACAGGCCTCCCGTGGCTCGCGAGTGCCCACTATCTTCGAGGACTCTTCCAAGCTAGCTATTAGATTTCGCCATAGCGTCATCGCTCTCCTCGATCTGAAACATCTGGTTCCAAGACCTCGACTTTCCACAATGTTTCTTTTTGGTGTCCCGGTCCGTTAATTCACATCAGCAGCACCAGATATGCCTGTCGAGGAGGTCGAGTGGGGTCATTATTTTAGTTGCATGCGAGCTTTTTTTTCTTGGTATCAAAAGAGTCGTCAAGTTCATGTTGATTATTGTCTTCTTGGTTTGTTTGAACGTGTGCGAGGTTGCTTTGAGCGCCTATCTGGTGGTCGTCAAGAGTTCCTGGAGATACAAGTGGCTGTCGTGGCCCGGCCACTATTAATCGCGCTTCCTCTTTCGTCTTCGGCATATGCTGGCGTCCTGTACTTTGAAAGAAATCGCCGTAGAGGTGCCCTTGATTATCCCCTCCTAGAAAAAAATGAATGAAAATAGCAAACAAACCAAGGTGCATGCATGAGTCTTCTAGTCGTACAAAGCCGCGTCCGCCTGCCACCATGCTTCCCCTTCTTCTGCCCCTTTCCGTCACCACAGAATCAATAAAAACAAAAACCACTAAACCCCCACTTCCGCTTTCCGCATCAGTACGCCGTTCCTAGGATGATGCATGCTATATTAATGCGTTTTGCAGCCAATGTCCCTGGACGCCATCTGCAGGTTCTATAGAACAAGAAGATGAGACGAATCAGCCCAAGGTTTTGTGGTATCAAAAAGCTCCGATTGGCAAATGACTCCCGTCCACCTCCATCCTATGCCGAGTATATGACAAAGAGAACCCAGCAATATAAAAAAAATGGCAAAAACAATAACAAAAACAGCGATAAGTCTGGATGTTGCTGTCCAGACTATGATGAGCTTGCATGATGACTGTCATGCATTCTGGTGTTGGTGTCCAGTCGAGTCAAGTTGTCGAGATGGCGCCACTAGTCGAGAAATGCTCCAATATCTCAGTTAAGAATACCATCCCATATGCCAGGTCCTCGCAGACTGATGGCGGGGTGAACGCTAGCAGTCTGATAGCCAGTAGCAGCTTCTGCAGAGCAGCACACTCGCTTTGCGTTGCGTCCAAAGGTGGGGTGGACGGGAACCTGCAGGTACGACTCCGAAGCGATGCCACGGGAGCGCACAAGGGTGTCGGGCCATGAGGATTTGGGAGACTCATAGCGGCAGCTAAGGATACCGCGAACATTTTCCTGCAGAGAATCGTCAATGGAAGGCGCACGACTTCGCTTAGAGCCAACCTTGGCTGTGGTGGGCGTAGCGTCCGCAGACACATCGTGGTTGTGAAGATCCTGTAAAGCCCTTGCAGCATCCGATGCAGGATCACGGGCCATCTCGTCGAGCTCTCGCTCGCGTCTTGCCAGGGGAGTGTCGAGACATAGATCACCGAGTTTGGCAGTCTCTGGATCAATGTAGGACTCGGGTGAGGAGGCCAGGCAGTGCTCATCATAATCCTCGGGGACGGAGGGGACAGAGGGTTTCGAGCTCACCCGGTCATTCCAGAGCTTCGCTGCCCGGAATCGCGACGGCACACTGCAACGGCCAGTGCCGTTGTAGAGGGTCGCGCTAGCGAGGCTAGAAGCGGAGGAGATGGACGAGGAGCGAGAGGATCGTGAAGAATCCGAAACCATGGACTCGGGGGACGAGGCGGTTGACACTGAGTTGGCGAGAGACGATCGACGAGCTGGGCAGTACCCTTGCGGCGACGAAGTAACAGAGTAGGGGAAGCGATCGAGAGCTGTCTGTGCGGCGCTGACGGTATTGGCGTGGGCCATGGCAAGACCCATTGCATTGCTTTTTCCGAGAAGTTGGGATGCAACACTCACTGCAGGAGTGCAGAATCCGCTGGTCTGCGGAGTAAGGCGTGGTGTGGGCAAAAGAGTCAGAGCTGGTGCCAACCGACCAGGAGTGTACACGCTGCTAGATGAGGGCTCCATGACGGCCGGTGTGTTGGACATCTTTGGGGTCGGAGTAATAGTGAGGCTGTCAAGAGCAGCCGGGCTGCGGGCCTCCTGAGGGAGGTTGAGAATGCTTCGGGGGGAGAGAGCACACAAGTCGCTAGCCGTGGCGCTGACGGGAGTCGTTGGAATGAGCCCATCAACGTTGGTGAGCTCAGGCTCAAGTCTCAGAATGAGTTGCTTCCAGTCGGCGGACTGCTGAGCATATGTATGAGACCCGGCACCGGGCGAAGGGGGTGAAGGAGGCGGCGTGTATTTGAGGACAATCTCGGTCCAGCGCTGGAAAACCTCATCCGTGATGTGCAATTGCCAGTTGACGGCAAGAAGGAATGCAATCTCATTCTGATTTATCTCTTGGGTGTTAAGCCCAGAAATCTTGCTCCAAGCACGAGCCGAGTAGTTGCGGTCCTGAAGATACTTCGAGGCAAGAATGAGAGCTGCAAGAAACATACGACGGCCACACTGCAGAGCACGATCCACGTGTCTGTCGTGGGGCTGCTCGGTAGTGAAGTTGTGCTTCGGGACGTGAGGCTTGATAAGAATAAGGTAGTACAGGGCTACCTGCAGCGTGGAGTAGCTGGTACGTGAGCGCCGAAGTGTTTCTTGGATGAACGTGCGCAGAGGCAAGACAGCTTTGCTGCCGAGCTCACTACGGCATACAACCGAGGACAGGGGCCAGATCGCTTCTACGATCTGGGTGGAAGAATCTGCGGAAAGGGCTAAGCATTGGTTTAGTGAATCCAGAGGCAATAGTTGCCACCTACCAACAAGGCTGTCAACAAAGTTGACCTTGCGATCCGACTGTCGCACTAGAGCAGGAGGGCAACCTCCTCGGGCCGTACGGCAGCCCGCGGCGGTACGTCTGGGGTTTTGTCGCAACTCCGCCGGGACGGCCTCTGCATCGCGCTGGTGGAGTGAGCGGCGGTGGTTGACAAGACTTTGGGTACTTGTAGCGGCACGTTTGGAGCGACAAAACGTGTCACACGAGTCGGAATCGGACGTGTTGGCAGATATAGAGGAGTCGTCGGACGATTGGGAAGCGGTATCAGACCATACAGATGTTGTAGAGATGGAGGCCACAGAACTCATAGCAGAGCTGTACGGCGCATATTGAGAGGCAGAGGCGACGAAGGCGGGCGAATCATCCGCGTCGTACTTCATCTTGATTGTAGTGGTGGTAGTAAGGGTGGAGAACCGGCTTGAGTCGAAGTAAGTATCAAGCCAAGTATCTATCGAGGTTCCAGTCGCCGGGAGGCTAAGTCAACCAATAAGATCGTGGGTTACCGTAGAGCAATTCGAGAAGTACCGTGGTCGAGTTACAACTAGCTCCAAGCAAACAGCATCAAACCAGCTGTCAGTGGGAGCAGAAATCCGGGGTGTAAAGAAAAGGCGGTTTACACAAGAGTGGCAACAGCTGACTTTACAACAAGGATCAGACCGGTAGACGAAGCGGAAACGGCGACTGGAGTGGTAAGAATATAACTTGCAAGAGGCATTGCGACAAATGCTTCTACAGACAAGTTGGTGGAGGAGGTGATGGGAGTCTTAAGCGACAACTACCATCGGCATGTAAGGAGGCAAGGCAAAAGACAGCGAGGAGTGGAGAGGGGGGAGAAGTCGTTTGAGGACGTATTCGTCGAGAGATGAATCAGAGTGGCGACACACGAGGGTTTGCGGATGATGCACTCGACCGCGTCCGGTGACGATGAAGTCGTGCAGGGTTCGTCGCGCTTTGGGGGTGCGGGTAGACGAAATGCAGGAACAGTGGGTGATGCAGGTGGTGCGGCTCAAAGGCGTGGATGAGTGTGCCTGGAATGGCGTATTTATCAAGGACGTCGTGCGCCGGTGATGTGACTCCTTCGACGTGGCCTGGGAGGCGAGGCACCGGAGGGAGCAGTGACAACGGCGTCGAGCGTCAAGAGACCGTGACGGACGGGCTGGAGGCGACGGGGTGGAGTGGGTAATGGGTAATGGATGGGGCGAGGGTGGTCGAGTGGTCGGGTGCTTTGTGTGACTCGATCTGGGTTGGCGAGCGTGTCCAAGGTGTCCCCAGCAGGTCCCAGGTGTCCCAGGTGTCTGCGTGCGGTGCGGTGGCGACCGAGTCTTGCCGCGCGGGCCAAGTGGCAGCCAACGAGAGCGGACTTGGCGATTTCGGAGCGGCGAGGCAGTGACTGGGCAGACGGGGGCCTGGCAGCCTAGAGAGTTCCAGCTGGACCGAGCCTAAAAAAAAAAAATGACGGACTGCAGCGCCTCAGCCAAGATGTGGCGAAGACAAACTGACAGGGTGTGCGTGTGCTTCGGTGCTGAGCTAAGCAGCCCGAGGGTTGTTGGGTGGTTGATGTGTGATGTGTGATGTGTTTGCGTGCCGCGCGGGCGTGGGCGCGAGGGCCGAATGATACTGCTGCGATTAAAAAGGCTAAGGGAGTGCAAGTCAAGCAACACAAAAACTTGGTCGTCAGCGATGGACTCGACAGCATCAACCGCGCCGTGCGATGCGTGTTGCTTCGGTCGTCCTCTGGAGAATGCCGCAAGGTACAAGTGAATGCCGCTGCGAGCGAAGAGAGACGAGACGGCTTGGTTGGTGGTGACAGCCTGGTGGTGTTGGCAACGTCGGGTGCGCTCGTCAAAGACAATAGTACAAGAATGGAAACAAATGGACGTGGAAACCCAGAAATCAGATTATTAGAATGCGCCGTGGAGTGGAGAGAAACCAGAGCAGACTGCGAGAGTCGCTGGCAACGTTTACAAGGCGTAGTTGAACTTCATCTTGACGTTGGAGTTCGATGGGGGAGAGAAAACAGAGAGCTGATGCGAGGGCCAGTGGTTTTGAATGCATGGCCAGACGAGATGGCCTCTCTTTGGCCGCTGGCCGCTGGTCTCCTCTGGTTTGGCCTCTGGACTCCAGACAGCAGCGCAGCAGCAGCGCGAAGCAGCCACCGCTGGAGTTTTGACTGGACAGCGAGCACCAAGGGAGGGGCGCTGCGGAGGCGGCGGACCAGGGTCTGTCTGTCTAGTGCTGCTCCCAGGTAGAGTCTCGTTCTGCTAAGCATGACTTGGCTGAGCATCGATTTCTGTTGGAGGGGGGCAGCAGGTCGCAGGCACACAGGCAGAAAGGAGGCAGACATGGAAGCACGCAGCGTGCAGCACGTAGCACGGCAGCCAAGGGATGTGTGGTATGTGTCAGGTACCGGCACGGCGGGTAGTCGGTACAAAGACCACCAGGCATGGCCGCCTGCGATGCCGCTGCTTCCCCGTCCCTCCACGTACCCGGTACCAAATAACCTGCCACGGCCCAAGTACATCTCGCATCTGGCCATCTCCCGCGAGGCGCACATGTACCTCGCGCGCGCGTGAACTATGACGAAGTACAGCCAGCAAAGACCCCTCTCGGTCTCCACTGCCTCGTTGTCACTGGCCACGGCTGGCCAATCTGCATTTCAGCAATCGTTGATTGGCCCTGGCGTTCCCATAATGCCGGTCCCCGACCACCCCTTAGGAAGGAGCTCCCGGCGGGCTGTCCCCGACTCTTCGAGCTCTTCCATCTCGTCCAGCGGGCGCACTCAGCCAACGCATCGCACGCCCACTTCGAGCCCGTTGTGCAGTTCGGCCGCCGTATTTCAACCCCTGCTACTCCGTACTTCAGGATGCTCCTTTTGGATTGGCGGCGCAGCATTTTCGCCCTCACTCACTGACGAACTGGCAGGTCAAGGCTGCTCGGCATGGTGGGTGGATGGCAAATGTGGCTACAGCGAGGCGTTCCTGAGGCCATGACTATGACTCTTCTCTTCCGTGGGCTACCAGACTGATGCGACTCGATCCCGCCAGAATCAACCATTTGTCCATTCCGGCGTCGTCTTGGTCCCCACGGCCTTTTCCTTGGGCTTGCGTGCATCAGAAGCGCTAGCAGTCAGGTCATTTCTCGTACTCCGTAATACTTCCTGGAGATCCGTCACATCAGCCTGGTCGCCGGCCACGCCTTCACTTACTTTTGCGGGATCAGAGCTGGGTAGGTTGGCATGCTCAAACGGCAGGGTAAGCTCTTTTGTATCGTGCTCTGTTGACGGTGTTCAATGCTGATCACGCACACACCGTTTCAAACAGGGCGTTGAAGGGTAAGCCAGTGTCGATAGTGTCAACAATACGTAGCTCCAGAAGCACAACAGCTCCCGGTGAGAAGTCTATCTGGTAAGCCTTCAGTCCGTAGCATACATGCTGCAGCCACTGTATTACGGCAGTGAAAGGTCAACTGGTGTCTTTGACCCATACACCCACTCGCTGGTCTAACCGTTGAGACCGCTCGACCGACGTAACTGCGAGAAGACCAAGACCGTCTAACATTGCTGGAATATGTCATCGGGGCATAATCAGGTATAGGGCAGGCCTTAGTCGTGCGTTCCAAAAAGGACAAGAGCCTGGTGACGCTATCCTTTGGCTGGCAAGCTGGTTTGCTGCATCAGTGCCTCCGACAACTATTGGTACATAACTAATTGCTATTATACAAACCGGCTGATCAACTCGCAGTCCATCAGGAAACACGGCATACATACGGATTATGTGCCATGCCAATGACCTCACTCCACTCCAACACACGAGGCCAAGTAGCCAAGGATAATGAGGGGCGAACAAGAATATCGTAGCCACTGACTGACGCCAGAGGGCACATTCCCCCTCAAAGATACGTGCCACTGCCCCAGGCAGACAGGCCATCAATCAGATACATCGGTTGCAGTTCCACAGCCTCCCAGTACAGTAGACTGATTCTATTATTACGACGACGGATGTACAAGCAAAATAAAAACAAAATAAAAAAGACACAGGGGTCACATCAAACATCCTTATCGAAAAGCCATGCCCACTGCCACTGTCATAGCTAAGACAAAAAAATTTCTTCTCCAGGATTGCAAGTTCCCGGCACAAGGCAAAGCTTTTCAAGCGTGCTTCTTCCGGCCGGATACGCCGGTGTCAGGCGGCATCCCAAAGGTCGTAATGGTGGCATTTAGCATCGACTCCGAGACTCTAAGCGCTTCGGCCCTCCCTCGGACAGAGCAGCGTCTTGTCGAGTGACTCCGTAGAATTCAAAGGAGGCGCCGCGCTCTCGCCACTGGACATACCGCTTGGCGCACAAAAGCTACTGCCTAGCCAAAGGAGGGTCCGACGTTAACGGTTTACTGAGAGGGCTGCTGGTGAAACGCACTTTCAGTATCGAGGTTCGTGTGGCGAATCTGGGCATCAAGCCCTGCTCTGCATTTGGAAGAAGCGGTCGTACCCAACAACATTCCACGAAAAGAACAAGCACCTATTTGCTAGGGAGATCACTTGTTGCATTGAGCCGCTACTCATCCCACGAACGTGTCCGTTATTAGCGGCCGAGTTTAGTGCTCACCACGAACCAAGGCAACAAATCACCCGTTCATCTACTCCGTACAATGCTTCAAAAATGCGGCCTCTCACCATGAAATTGCGCAGCGCCCCACTTTCATAAGTGTGCGTGCACAAAAATGTCGCACACAAATGAAAGTTCGGAGCTACTGGCTACCCTGTGCTGGATGCCTGGCCACTGTCGATGTGTTTTGCCTTGGTGCCTCAGGCTGCAAACGAAGCCTAAACCAGCCGAGTGCATGAATCCTCCGTGACCAGAAGCCATTGAACTAGCTTCTCGTGGTCTCTGTGCTCCGCCGGACTCGATATCCGCAGCAACTTTTTGTGCACGACCCGATAGGGAAAGTACTTATGTACTTAAGTACATGCCGCTATCACTAAAATACGTCCTGTTCACGGCCAGGCTACAATGTCCCAACTGTCAGTAGTACACCACTGGAAGCTCAACTCGTGCAAGACGAAATCGTCATCCTGAAGCCATCCATCAACGCCTACCCCGTTGGACCCCATACAGCTGACAATTACGTCCAAGTTGGCCTCCAAGTTCAGTACTGACTGCTGCTTCATACGTATCACTTGAATTGTCAGACACCGTCTCCCACCTTACGCGATACATGGAGAAAGTGGAAACCCCATGCAAGTGTTCGCTCCCCGTACGGAATACTGCGGGCGAGAGAAGATGCCAGGGGCGAACAAGCCAAACAAACTGCTAATGCTAGACATGGAGGCGAAGTACATAGGGGTGTAGGAACCAAAGGCATCGCCATGATCCCATCTCTCTCTCACTGCCCCCTCTTCTGCTTCTTGGATGACGAGATGTCCTGCCTCGCCCCTTGCCCCTTAACCTAGCAGTGTGACGGCATCGTATGGTATCGGGACATGACCATTTGGCCAAAATAGAACATTGGCGCCTCAAACTGCTGCTGCGCTTTCGCGCCGCCGCGAAAGGTTCACACGTCACACGCTCCTCATTCTCCTTTAATCATCCATTGTTACAGGAACATGTTCGTCATTGAGTGCCATTGGGCAGAGAGGCAACCATCCCCACTTGGCTGCGGCATTGCTGATTGGAAGGGGGGGGTCGTCGAGATGGCAATCGCCTTTTGTCATTTTCCGACGCCAGAATGGCGCAAGTGAGCAATCAATCCGTTCAATCCTGCCAAAAGTCAATGCAGCCGTGTGTGTTTAGGCAAAGAAAAAAAAGGGGGGCAGTGTAGTTCAATATTGGACAGCCTCGTCTGTGGCCCAAATTACATACACAAAACAAGAGGAAGACTGTTGCCCGTCTTGGGCCAAGAGGCTGTCGAGTCAATTCGTTTCAGCTCTTTCTTTGAAGAAGCATCCACCCGGTTCGTTGCCTAGGAAAGCCCATTCAGCCGGTGTGTCTTGGAGAGGTGGCCCGTCCACGGGAAGCAGTCACAGCCTTGTCCAGGCCTCGAGTCTTCATCTCAACCATTGTGCTGCGCTGCGCTTCAGTGCATTGGCATGAGTCAACTCCGGGTAGCGGTGCCTAAGCCTTGGCCGCCCGACAAACCGTCCATTTTGTTCTTCGCGCAACCGCAAGCAAGCAGGCAGGGAGGGACTGTTTCGTGTGGCCACAAGGTCATGTGGCCATCCCCGTGCCCGACCCAAGGGCCATCGGTGCTGAATGCCGTGTAAGACGCAGCACTGGAATCACGAGACCATCGTGTGGCAATTCAGCATGCGAACATGCACGCCGCGTTCGGGGCTCAATCCAATCCGTAAACTTACATCCCGTTTCCGTCGTTTAGATTCCATGATGCTCCATTCCCATTGTTAATTTTCCTTATCAACGTAGTTACTTGCTCGGGAAGGAGGGAGTCGGTCCACCCGGCCGATATCGCCGACTCATCAATGGTGCCCAATATCTCAACTTGGCGAGAACGCTTTACGTCATGGTAGTATATCCTTGGGGGGCATTAAAAGCTACGAGTTTTGACCGGGTGTGTTGTCAGACCAAATAACCCCAATTGGTCTCCGGTTTCGCCACTCGTGGGAGTCATGACTTGCCGATGTTGGCGGACTCACCAGTACGTGCTCGCAATATTATCAAAGAGGACCATCATTTGTTGCGGAACAGATTGCAGCAAGTCTCGGCACATTTTCGCTTATAGGTCACTGCGTCTATTTGAATCGGCCATACTTATTAGTTCCCATGTGTGGATGGCTGTCCACAAGCATCAAATCTAATGCTGGTTATTCACCCGACAACTATAGGGTAGCCGAAATACTACGGCCCATCTAGTATCGCCTAGTGTGACACCACTGCATTTCTACCGACGTGTCTCAACCTCATCACTCCAATCAAAAAACAGTCACATAATAAATGCCAAATGTATCAAAACCCAGACCCCATTGACTATCGACCATATTGAATACAAGCAAACTGAAAACTACACACACCACTTCCAATTTTGTTCATGGCTTCTAAAGATGAGAGGCATCATTCGCATCCAGCCCCGTCTTCCTAGCTACCCGTAACCATCACAATCCGTAGTACGCCTTCCAGAAACTGGACTACTTTACGAAGCCATATATGTGCTGGCATCGACACCCTCCTTGGGAAATTCACTACAAATAATTAGCATATGCAAGCCATCTGGATAGACAATATAAAAAACTTACGGTAGGGCAACTTCGAACCGCTTCTCAATCTCTTTAAGCACGTCTTGGTCCTGGTCTGAACTGACAAACGAGATGGCAAGACCCTTGGTACCGAAACGGCCGGCACGACCGACACGGTGGAGGTACGAACTAGCATCGGCAGGGAGATCGTAGTTGATCGCCAAGTTGATACGTTCAATATCAATACCACGACCAAAAACGTCCGTCGCAACGCAAATTCTCTTCTTGAACTCCTTAAACTCCTTGTAACGTTTGATACTACGGGTTGTTAGATTTAGTCATATTGTATTGACGTCTCAAAGACAAGAAACAAGGGGGGCTTGCTCACCGCTCCTCCTGGCTCACACCAGAGTGCACCGCAATCGAAGGGAAGTTGCATTCGCGCAGCAACTTGTCAAGCTCGGTGGCACGAATGGTGCTCTTGACAAAGATGATGACCTGGTTGAATTGGAGTTCGTCGAGAAGCTCATTCAGCTTTCTGTTCTTTTCCTTCTCTTCGAGCTTGATGTAGTACTGCTGAAGACCATGCAGAGTGAGCTTGGTGTCCTCATCGACATAGTGCTCGGTGGGGTTCTGCATGAACTTCCTGCAGATGGGCTTGATCTCATTAGCCAAAGTAGCAGAGAACATCATGACCTGCTTCTGGGTAGGGGTGGCGCGGAAGACATCCTGGACATCAGTACGCATGTCTAATCTCATTAGTATCTATCGTCTGATAACCTCATTTTTTTTTTGGCGGGGCACACCTACCAGGCTGATCAAGCATCTTGTCGCATTCATCAAGAACAAAGATGCGAACACTGCCGAGGCGTAGAGCCTTGTCGCGGACAAGAGCCTTGAGACGACCTGGAGTACCAACGATAATGTGGGGGCAGGTGTCCTTGTTCTTCAAGGTCTCCATGTCGGTCTTGATGGGAGTGCCACCAAAGAACACGCCAGTCTTGATGTCGGGCATGTACTTGCTGAATCGGTTGTACTCATCGCGAATCTGGTAGGCAAGTTCACGGGTGTGGCACATGACCACAACTGAAACCTCTCCGTTGACGGGCTCGACCTGCTGCAAAGTAGCAAGGACGAAGACAGCCGTCTTGCCCAGACCGGACTTGGCCTGGCAAATAATATCACCACCGAGGAGCGCCTGAGGGATACAGGTTTGTTGGACTGTCGATCGAGCGGATGTTAGATCATTGGTTTTCTTCAAGCAGAAACGAACGATGTATGCAATGCGTCAAAGTGCCCGTCCGTCCACCGTCGCAGGTATGAGGGGCGGCGCGAAAAAGAAGAACAAGTACCACGTAAGAAGAATCGAGCGCAGCTTGTCGAGGTCGTCATAGACATTCAAAATACTTCGCTTGCTTTTGCAATGTGACAATAACAAAGCCTTCCACTGGCCGTGGCCTCGGACTTGATACCATCTGGTCGGATGCTAAGTGCTTTTCGGCCTTGATCCTTTTCGCCAATATTTCCCACACAGCTCAAGCTGTTATTGATGAGGGCAGCCGATGTCAAAAGATGCTTTCAATCCCATGACAGGATGGATGCACTTTTGCAGGCTGCCACGAGCTCATCGATGACCATGCATAGCCATGATTTACATGATCTTTTTGCAAGTCCCCAAGATGACGATCCGTGGCAAAAGGACTCTGACTCTCGTCTTCGGGGATTGGAAGCCCGTGCGCGCATTTTGTTCTCGTTGCGAAGATGGACGGACGCTTTGTACTTTGGAGGGAGGGGAATTGATGACTTAGGGTATTAGGATTTTCAGGACTAACCCTCCGATGGATGCTCGAAACCACAGTCGCCGATAGCACGGAGGAGCTCAGGCTTCAGCAAGAAGTCGCGGAAGCCGGTCGAGTGAATACCAACATAACTGCCCTTCTTGTCGACATCGGTAGAGGCAGCGAGTTCGCCTTTCTTGCCGTTGGAGCCGGCGGCGGCGGTCTCGTTGGCGCCAATTTCCTCATCAGAGTAGTCGATGAGATCCTCCTCGTGAGACATGCTGACGGATTTGTTGTGGGTGGCAAGAGCACGTAAAAAATTCGACAGCTGTTGCTGCTTGAGAGGTCAGGTCGAATGCGCAAAAAAAGAAAAAGGATGCCGATGCGCGGGCTGAGCGTTTAAAAGGACCTCTGAATGTCTAGGAAATGACAATAGAAGTGAAGAGAGAGAAATTTGTCACAACGAGGACGTAGATGATGGAGATTGACGGTCCCAATGTCCGGGGCGATGTTGACAAAGAGAGGTTGCGAGAGGCTCCCCAGACGGCTGACGAGGGAGAGAAGTGACTCGCGGCTGAGCTGCAGTGCAGGCAAACTGGTCCGTGCACGACAACCACGTGACCTCTTCTCTTACTCACTGTGCGAGCATGGTTTTTGGACACGATAGTCATAGTCATGGGATTAGACGAACGTCCGGCCTTTTTTTTTTTTTTGGCTCAAAGGACACGGACAGTCTTGCATTTTTGGCGGCGACAAAGCGCTGTCGACAGGACAATGGCAAAGACAAAGGTGGACGCAGGAGTCCAGAATAGAATCATCTATTCTAGAGCGTCTTATCTCTACCAAGCGGCGAATTATCTGACAAGCTGCGCAAACGCAATTCAAGATGCTCCATGCACATCAGACGCAGAGCAAAGTGCTTCGGCAAAGACGGACAAACAATACAAAGCAATCACAAACATGTCCCGCCAGGCAATTACCGATATGAGGGCTATTTCGTTAAAAGCACAAATTCGACAAAGCCCAGCACTAAAAAGGACAATCTGCAAGTTTTGCGACTCGCTGCTGGTGGAGGGACAGACGTGCCATTCGTTCATCCAGAACCCTAGTAAAGGGGGCCGCAAGCCGTGGGCAGATGTTCTCGTCATCGAGTGCAAGACGTGTGGGAATTCAAAAAGATATCCCGTCGATGCGCCACGGCAAACGCGCAAGGCAATTCGTTTACGGAAACAGGAGACCCTGTCCGATAAACAAGGCGGAGTGGCCCAGGAAGGAGAACAAGTTACTTGAGCTTTTGAGCCCAGAAGCAACCCACGATCTCTCAAGACACATACGATGTCGTAACAGCGGAGGGAACAGCAGGACTACTCGTTTCCTACACCATTCTGCCGCTCTAACATCCCATCATGGCAAGATGACGCCCTTGAGGAGATGTGTCGTATCGCGCCGAACCATCTTGCCGTCCCGTTGAGCGATAGTCTTGAGGCCTTTGTCGTGGATTTTAACCACACGGACATTGGCCAATAACACACTCATTGCTGTGAAAGGCAAAGACGCAAGTTGTTCCGCGCCTATCAATGTACAAACCCATTGGTCACTATTTGTGGTCGTGTAACTATACGCATACACAACTTGGTAGCCCAGCTCGAATGAAAATAGAACGCCTACATCCCGAGCAATAAGGTCGCGTCCTGAAACCAGGATGAACAGAAACCAAGCCTAGACTCCATAGAGCGAACAATGTAATGACCGCCCAACGTTCCAAAACCCATCATGATCGTATCCCATCACAGCATCACCTCGCTTCCCTCACACTTTCCTCCCCAAGGACCTTGCTAGCAGCCATAAACCTGAAGATGAATCAGCAAACAATCCCGTCTATTCTCTCCCACGCTACACTCACAGTCCACCGTGCCAACTCCCCAAGCCTCTCATCGCCTCAGCCTGCACGCTCGTCATGCGCAGCAGATTCTCAGTATCTGATAAATTAGTCGATAACTGGGCAAGTTGCGACTGGAGATGAGCCTGTCCTCTTCCATGTCAGCAACGGCAACCGTTTTCCACACTTCGCCGTGTCGTCAGGCGCGATGCTCACCAGTTGTCGGTTTTTGGCGGCGCTGCCCGCGCCCGGAGCCATGCTTTGCCGGTTCAGGTTTTGGGTTGCGCCGAAGTTTCTGGTTGCCATTTCGCGTTTCGGTAGTCCGTAGCCACGGTTGACGAGTTAGTTTGGCGCGCCCGTAGGCGGGTTGATGTGAAGAATGTGTCGGGGGGTATGGGGGGTATGGGGAGTCGGATCACAAGACCCGGGGGGGCAGTGCGATTCAAGGCGTCCCTGGTCGCCTGGTATCGGATAGTCGATAAGTAATCGCCGTTTCCTGAGTAGTGCCGACAATTGTTATGTGGACAAGGGGACTGATGGACTACGACGTACTAGTATTGGAGTTTGTAGTTGAGTAATGTCGACGCGTCTGCGCGGCCAGCTTGGTTACAACCGTTCGTCGATCAAGTGGGGACGTGGCATCTTCAACCACATCTCACATCTCACATCATCCCACATCCCACTTACAGTGTGTACCTCTGCAACCCATAAGGTTTACCCGTTTCCAAGAGAGGGGCGAGTATATTAAAGGGACGTAAGGTTGCGTGCTATGCTTGACCAGGCTCGATCATGCTTGTAACAATCCCTACCGTGGTGCCTGTCCCTTCTCGTAGGCGGTGAGCCGCCTGGACCGGCTTTGAAGTCTAGATGATTTCTTTCTGGCTATACGCAGATTAGGTTGCTAGAGTGCCTATATCAAACAGTCAGGCGGTAGTGTCGGGGGGTACACACATTATTCCAGATACCACTCGCACACTTTTATCATACTTCACTGTTGGTACGAGAGACAGTCAATGATACCAGCGATTCATTACAAAGAAACCTGACGTGTCATCGTGAATCGCTGCTGCTTTTGTTCTATGCCTGTGTTGTTCAACTACTTATTATTCAAGCCTTCCGAACCCGCTAGAAGGATCTCTTCTCCCTCTAAGCCTTTCATTACGTCCGGGGCAGTAGCTGCCCAAAAAGTCCTTGTCCTCACTCCTCGTCCTCACTCCTTCAATGGTGCTCTATACTTTGCAGGGCAGCTAGAATGGCCATTACCCGCAATTATTCATCTCGCCACAAAAGAAGAAGAACAAGAAAAAAAGCATGAAACCGGTCCGAGACCATATCCCCAAAAACAAATAAATATGTGAGAAAAAGAACAGTGTAAGAAAAAAAGGCCTCCAATGTCTAAGTTTGTTGTTAAACCCGATCAAACAGGCCTGTATATGTCGCTGTACTCCCCCCCCCGGCGATCCGGCACACCATCAAACAGTACAGATGTGGATATGTCTGCATGGCAACAGTAACACATGCTACCAAGCCATGAATCGTAATCGTACAAACAATGCTCGGCATGTTGCCGACATTTGATTGGTTAGGGCATTCCCGGATATGTCATACAACAATCCCGTCTCCAAAAAATTGCCTCCCCCTTTGTGTCGCTGATGATGTATTTGCAGTCGTCTAGTAGTTGTCTTATTTTCAACAGACCATTTGCTCCACAGCCAAACGTCATGTCGTAAGAATGCTCGATGTGGAAAAGACTGTGACTTCGCCAGAAGACTGGATAACTGATTATATGCTAGACGCAAGCAAGAACATGAATTCCGATCCCAATGCAATATTACCTAAATGTAGACCAGTCTCTTGTTTTTAGTTGCAAACATTCCCACGCTTATGTACGGGACTCATCCAGTCCGTTCAAAGAAACTATCAACGCGCCGGTGTTCCAATAATAGGCCAAGTTGACTCTGAACCGCATGTCGTATCTTTTTTTTGTTTAAAATTCGTTTGGCCAATGCCGTGCGACGTACCAAAAGTAAAAACCATGAGAGGTGATGTCTCAATCGTGTAACGAGAGGTAGAATAGAATTGAGATGTGTAGCTTTGAAGTGGTTGAACAGTCATGAATACGAGAGGTATAGCGCACAATCAAGGTGCATGATGCCGGTATAGGTTCGAATTATTGAGCACGAGTTTCTCGGCTGATTCGAACAGCGATCTGGCAGACACGGCCCATTTAACGCACTCCGATCGATGTCGCATTCTGGAAACTGCTCTGGCTGCTATGTGCAGACTGTTCCGAGTCGAGTTCACCACTGCCCACGCTGGCGCTCGCACTACCAGTCAGACTACGAACATTTCTTGGCTTAGGTGGATTGAGGGCGCTCACCCCTATATGCTGCTCTACCTGCTGGGGGGCAACAGAATTACCCTGCCCCGGCGGGTAGCGAGGGATAGGTTGTCGAACCCCGTCTGGCGGCGAGGGCCGCCCATTCATCGAAGGTGTGTAGCCGTTAGGGGGCGAAGGACGACCACCGCGCATTGGTGGACCGTACGGGTTGCCAGGGGATTGGCTTGCGCGACGTGGAAATGCGCCGTTCATCCCAGGTGGGCCGCCTGGCCCAGGTCCGTACGGGATCTCCTCCAACCTTGAAGCTGTCAGCGAGTTCGCGCGTGAGCTACCGCCCATGGCACCTCTGTCAACATTGCCGTATCGGTTCGATGTAAAGGATAACATAGCGTCATCCAGGATGTTGTCATTCATCGCAGGGAGGTGGTTAACCTGGCTGGCGCGGTTTCGTCCAAAGCTAGGGCGGAATCGGCTGGCTCGAGACGGGGGAGGAAGGTCGCTTTCTGGGTTCCGGCGAAATTGGGACGCAGACTGGCCCGACGTTTTGCGATTTTTCCTCGATGTTACACTCATCATGTCAAAATTATCGGGGTCAATGGTTGGCGCTCCGGTAGGTGCTATAGGGTCGAAGAAATCGTCGTCGTCATCGTCGTCGTCGAAAACTTGCTGGCTGTTGCGCATGGGATGGGGACCTCGACGGGGGCCAGGCGGGCCACGTCTTATTCTCATTTCCTGTTCCCGCAGAGCAAGCTCACGTTGACGAAGCTGAAGTTCCCGTTCGCGCAAGGCAATATCAGAATCTCCACCGAGTGATGGTTCTTGGCCCTCTGGGATGTCATCATACAATACTAGATGTGAGAACTCTTCCAGGTCGTTACCATCCATTGAACCCCTTCGGGAGGGAGCTCTTGAGCCACCATTCACCGATGGCGGGGGGCGAGGATAGCCGTTTGGCGGCCCTCCATTCATCTGAGGGGGCCGCCTCATACCTGAAGGCCCGAAGTTTGAAGAATTCCTAGGTCGGGGTTGTCGAGGCGGCATACCGTTTCCGTTTGGCATACCGCCCATCATGGGACGATGACCCGCTTGAGAAACAGACCGGGACTGTGGGGAAGAGATTGGAGAGCCCGGGGGCATCATATTTGGCGGGGGACCTTCGCCGGGCTTGGGTCTGGAGCGATTGACAATGTTGAGATTGTGAAGAATGGCGTATAACGTCTCAATTCGAGGAATGGGTATCTGTGATTCGCGAGCCAATTTAATGGGTGAACCAAGATATGTCTCAATTTCCATGGGACGTCTGGCAGTATAGTCTTGCCACATAATACTTTCGGGCAGATTCGGTTTCGTCATCTCATCCATTGTTCGTTCCTTGAAGTCTGGGGCGAGCTTGCAGCCATTTGCATCGGCGAGGCGCAACAGTTCATCTATGACCTCCGAAATCATGTCCTTAACCCCGACCTTCTCCAACAAAGCAGCGTGGTTTGGCGTGTCAAAGAGGACGGAAGCGGGGTGGAATGCGATAGGGCTGGATATTTGATTAGCGCTAGAAGGATACGGACAAGACAGGCTAGGTAGGTAATTGCGGATTCTCACCCAATAACCCTTTCATATTGCTGTTGGCGAATATTTGAAGAGACCTTGCAATCCACTTGGCCAGTGCTCAGTGTCATTGCTAATGCTTGAGCCATGTCCTCCTGGATAGCTTGGGGTATGTTGCTGTTCCTACTGGCAGGCCCAACCCATATCTCTGTCGAGCCCCTGTGCTCGAACTCACTTTGGCCAAGTTGTGTAAGCTCTGCTCCGGAAACAAGTGACAAAACAACATTTGTAGGAAATCGTTCTTCGAGCGCGGCTTCAACACCCAATGTGTGAGTAGTATTTACAAGTATACACGTATGCTGAGGTGTCACAACGGAATCGATAACGGCAGCAAGATCGTAGACATCAGGGAGTGCCTTGACGCATAAAACAACGTAATCAAATGCGCCTTCTCGAGAATGAGCGGCATCTTCAGGATTCCGAACAACTGCGAAGCGAATAAGGTTAAAATCCAGTCACTAGATTGGAGGAGGAGGGAGGCAATTCAACAAAGCAGTGGGCCAACGGGTCTTACCATGACGAGGTTTAAACCGTTCGTTACCAAAAACCGGTGACCTGCAATTGTTGCAATTAGTTTTGACCCAATTCCGCTCTCTTCCTCGTAGGGATCTAACGGGAACGTACTTGAATGAGATACCGTACTGAGCAACGTGCTCGTATCCTGATTTCCACACCAAGGTCACGTCGCAGGCATTGGTGGCCTGTAGCCTCCATGATAAGAAGGCAGAAACGGGATTTCCACCAACTGAGCATATATTCATTAGCTGGCTGTCGCCCATCTCGAACGGAATCAATGGAAAACCGCTGAACCAAAAGTCTTCTCCAGCGATTGAAGGAAAAGAACGGCTCGGTAAAAAGAAATACAAACGAGTGAGAATGGAGATGTAGGAGCGGGAATGGGCGGCAGGGCCGGAAGGGAGACCAAGAGATAGGTAACAATGGACTGCAGAACTAAAATGCTGAACCAGCGCGACAGGGCAGCATTTTCAGGCGCCAACGAACAGGGACGAGTTGAGAGGTAGCGTGCACAGAGGACAGGACAATGACGGGAGGTGGGACAGCATACCTGATAGAATCTTGAGACGGGGCTGTATGGGTGCCATGGTTTCTGTCGTGGCCCCCGATGGGGATTAGTGAGCTGTGCGAGATCTCAACCGTAGCGTTGTAGTAACGAGCGGCTTGTTGCGATGGCCCTGGTCACCCTGTCCCACGAGGTGTCTGGCCTTTGACTCTAGGCTCTCTGAGAATGGCGAGATGCCGGGGCTCGAGGAGCTACGTGCGAGTACGTGATGTGGATGGGTCGACAGGCGGGCGGGCGTGCAATTGCGACCGCAAGCAGGTGAGACTTGTCGAGCTGAAGCGATGGAGTGGGATAGTGTAGTTGGTCGGCACGCAAGGCGAAGAGAGAGAGAGAGCGGGAGTCGGGAGAGCCACGGAGCCAGAGAGAGGGGGGGCGTGTCGAGATGCGACCCGCGAACTCCCAGAGTTGGTGGAGGCCGGATTGTCAGGAGGGCGGGCAGCGATGGCAACCGCGAAGTCAGGGCGTGCGATCAGTGATGATGGTATTATTGGGAGCGACGATGATGGCCAGCGAATGCAAAGGCTCTGACTGATGGTTGGCCAGGTTCACAGGTCCAGGGGTCAGTTTCAGTAACGACGGCACGCTGAGGAACGGACGGCTGGACCAGCAATTGTTGACTGGTGTGACGAATAAAGACGAAAAGTGCCCAGTGGCGGTGGGACGTGAGAGATAGTAGTGGACGGGACGGGCGTGGGAAATTGTCTGGGGTTTCGTGGGACAAGTTGTTGAACCTTGTCGGGCTGGGCACGCAAGCGCAGCCGCCAGCACACGCAACACACGCACGCGCACGCACGTACGCACGACCTGGCAGCGTCTTGGGGGCTTGGAGGAGCCAGAGAGCCCTTAAGAAGGCCTGTAAGAAGCAGTGGAACGGTGGCCGCCGATGTCTGATGTCTGGGCCTGATGGGCGGCCGGACCAATGCTACTGCCACTTCCACTACCACTGCCGCGGATGGGCAAGAAGGCGTCAATCGAGGGCGTGGGCCTTGGCTGCCTCGTGGATCCGCTGGATAAACGGAGATGAAAACAATGACGAGAAAGGGAGGGAAGGGAAAAAAAAGAGGGGGGAACCGGCAACGACGGAGGTGCGTGCCTTCAGGGAAAAAACGAAGTCGACAGAACGGGTGCTTTGTCGACGATTGCCGGCAACGAGGCAACCAAAGAGTGAAGGGGCCGCAAGACGGTCAGAGCTAGAGCCTGCAAAAAAAAAAAAAAAAAAAATCCGGACAAAACTTTTGTGTGCAAAATGCACACTAGCATGTGTAGTCGAGAATTTAGTGGCCTACCTAGCATCATGTAAGTCCTTGTACCCCGTTCTCCATGCACGCAATTGCGCCGAAAGCAGTGCAGAACTTCCAGGCTAGTGGCGATGTGTACGTACCTTGGCCCCTGGATGCCTGTTTCCAGCGTGTTCCCAGCGCGTTGGATGCGCAAGGCGTGCAAGTCCTCGTACAGTACAACGACACTGCCGCAGTTGTGTAAAAACGGGAGACTTGCGGCTTTGGTCCGGCAGGTACCCGATACTCGACGCGCCACCGAATAATACGTTAGTCAGATGTACTATTCTACTTCCGGCGCTCTTTCCAATTGCAGGTCGAAGCTGCGAAATTTCTGTGCAAAGCACCAGATTGTGCACGCTGGCATGTGGCTGGGAGCTACTGAGTATACAAATCTGTTCGCGGCTCTTTTCCGCCGCCGTTCGAAATGTTGACTGTTCAATTCAAGAGACGTCCAGGCACAGGGACTCCTCGAACAGAGTTCAGTCCGGTCCTAAACAGCCACCCAGTTAGCAATCGGCATGGCGGTCTCGGTGACGTACTAAAGGGATGTGGCGCGGGCCAAGGGGAGGAGGAGGAAAACTTTGGAGCCTCCAGGCCCCAGAGGTCCCAGAAGCCCCAGTCAGGGACGCTTCTCGCACCGACAAGGTAACAAAACGAGTCAAGACAAGTGCTCAAGGTCTTGAAACTATTGCCCGTAATCAAGGGCAAAGTTTCAAACTCATTATGAACCCTGAAAGTCCTTGAAGGGGTCGAACTGACCGAGCTGTCCTCCAATCAGGTGTATTAAATAGAGTTTTGTGTCCGATACTGGAGCCAAGCAGTTTCCCATATCACCCTTTCATGTCCAGTGGCCCGTAGTGGAACACGACGTACCGTATTTACTGGAATGTGTTTTCCTGTCCCAAGATTTGAGACCCCGGAATACTAGGGATAGTATGAGTACTAGTACCGGCCGTCGAGCAAGAGATGTGGTTCGGGCTGAACCAGAAAGCAGCTCCTGTTCAAGTGGTGCCGAACAACGTCGCCAGGCGCATGGATAAGGATGAGAATAATATCTTCCTCGCCTGCCCCTTCCAAATTACACTCTCCCAAAGCAATACTCCGTACGCCGTTCACTATTGTACATTCGTCCGAAAGAGTGTCGAGAAAACGCCTCTTGCACTGAAATTGGAAAGAATGCGACCCTGGGAGCAAATCGAATATGACGGCCTGAGCGTGTGGTGTCGGAGGGGAGGTGCAATTGGTGCTTCCAGAGATCTGCTGGCTCAATCCCGAAGCCTGGGAACTCCCTAACGCCTATCGTGCTCGGACTATGGTTGAATAGCTGGTAGGCTCGCCCGGCCGAATCAAAGATTGGGAGACCGCTATACTCCGTACCCGGATGCCAGTCGGACAGGCCTGCGTGATGAGAAGGCAGCCACAGCCCACTGTGGTGATGGCCGAGCAACAGGAGCAACAAGAGAAGCGAGGAAGGTGGTGGTAGAAAGGGAAAAGGAAGGACAGCTTGCAAATGCGACGAGAAGAAGGCCTACTCGGGAAGAAACAAACACGTAGTCGACACTTTTAAGTAAATGATTTCTCTCTGCCAAGTCGAAGAGCCACTTGCAGGGTAAGGCTACACCAGACAGCTTCGTTGAATACGAGTCCTTACTTCAACCTGATAAGGTGCCAAGTTCCAAGGTACTCAGGCTGCCAGGCATGTCTGGTATTCGGACGTCAACCTGAGACTGGACTACTATGCATCTCCCTTCCACGACAGTCTTGGAAAGGGCGGACGGGGCCTGAACATAAAAAGGGAAGGACCGACCGCGATGAATTCAATAATGCGGCGGCATAATTCACACATGGCACATTGTATGTACTAGGTGCTTGTACTCCGTAGGGCAGGGCGGAGTACCGAGTCTCTAGGGCACAATTGATTCACAATCTGTTTTGCGAGTCCCAGAGCCATGACTCTTCGTCTCCTCCATCTCATCATCTCTGCTGTCAACTCAACGACGCCGAATGCCGACGCCGATTTCTCTTGTCCTTGGCTGGTGCTTGGTGTTCAATAACACACCGGCCCCCGCCATGCCACAGACACACGTGCAGCCACAGCGAGACTGTTGGCATGATGGGCAACGCATGCCGTGTGAGTGGAGGAGCCTTCCATCCTGCCATATGCACAAAAGCTCGTGATGGCGCTGCCAACGGTTTGGACGGCTATTATGGCAACCGGTCCATGTCATCATTCCCACGCGACATGGCTGCTTCGTTCGATCTCGTTGGTGTCAGACACATCAAAGAAGCTTACCGTACGGAGCACACCTCGGAGTACTACTACATTGTATTCCGGCTCTTCCGCACAAACTCACCATTTCTGCTGCACGACGCCTCTCGGATGCACAGCGGTAATCTCCCAGAAGATGGCTTGCCCTGCCCGACCCCGGCCCTGGCCCTGGCCCTGGCCCCCGTCGCGGCTTGCAAACAGGATTCCATGTTCCCAATTTGGATCCCTCTTGGCGTCAGGCACTGCCATCTGTTCGGATAGAACCCACTGTGGAACCTAGGAGCATGTTGGCTGCCAGCTTTTGCCAGCCAGATCAGTTTCTTACGGGTCATAATACGGTTGATAATCCTCTCTATGGGTATTGGATAATGGATATTGCGGCTCGCTCATCCATAATAGTACATATCATACATACATACATTGTACGTTCTAGCATCAGTTGGTCGAACGAGCTGGGCTAGAACGTGCCTGGGCCCGTTTGTGCCCGTTGGCAGCAACTACCTTCTCCACGCAGCGCCAACCTCGTTTTAGACTGGGTCTTTTCGCTCTACTATGCAGCTGATCTATCTGGCCAAATAGGAACACAAGGATGGCAAAGCAGGACCAAATCATATAAACCCTCACGGAATGAACCGATACTGGGGAGGAACGGCACATAATATCAGATAACGAGTTGTAAGAAAGCAGACAGCAAGTCCCCGTATAGTCCATCAAGACGATTGCTGTGCTCGAGAACAGAGCTATGTCAGTACTAAAGGGATTTGCGCTCTCGGCATGTCACGCAAAACAGAGGAGCCCGCATTGCAAGGTCGACCGTTTGTTACATCACTCATTACATATCGTGTCTGTCATGATCTATTTCTGATCGTCGGCAGGGTACCTGGCTGCAAGAGTTCACTGCCGCGAGGGGCTCAAGGGATGGCGTATCCCTATCGACTTGGTCCAAATTATCCGTTGGTCTGATGCCTGAATGCATTTATGTGGCTTGATAACACTCTTGTGCTGTATCTGGAAGACATGAACCAACGAACTGGTCGTACATACAGGCGTCGCCAACCAATTAGAGGCACGCACACCTACAACCGCTCATGGATGTTGATAGAACTGCGGCGTTGTCGTTACCTTTGAGGATGGACAACGGGCGGGCAAAGACAATTCCCTCATGTACTCCGTACACGGGTCTAAAATTAAGATTCCACATATGGAGTACATACACCATCTCTGATCCTCATGGGCAATCACCTTTCACTTACCTGCATGCGGGAAATGTCGCCAGACAGACATGGTGACCACCAATTACGAAGACCCCAGAGAACCCCCCCCCCCCTTTTTTTTTTTCCAAGTTCAAATTAGAGTGGGCAGGTCGAAAGCTTGTTTTTGTTCCCAAATCCTTACCATCTCCTTCTCCGGGGTTGATGACTTCGGATGATTGAAACTCTACTTCTTCATTTCAATGCCTGCGATGATTGCCGTGGCAAGTGATTACATGCAGATCCACGATTGATGATGGGAGCAAGTCGATGACGTACCCCCAAGCGAGTCTCAGTCCAGTTTTAGATCGTGTCCCTCATCTGACCCTTGCTCAGTCAGGTTGTTTGCATGGGGCGTCCGGCATGACGAACCCACGAACATTAAGCGAAAATAGTACTGCCTCAAGTCATGGCACTGCTAGTTACTCCTCCCGGGTATTTTTATCACAATGATCCACCTGTGAAGAACTCGTCGATCACATTCCGACTTTACGGAGTCCGCGCAAGAAACCAAACAACCAGACTTGACAACTCACGCTAGTGGAGGGAGCGCTGGATTTTTTTTTTTTAGTTTTTTTTTTTTTTTTTAGGAATACTACATGTATGGCGGGACCAAGGGTCAAGGTCATATCGACGCACATGCAGGAATAACCAGGACTTGATGTTGCAGAAGACGGACGATAAATGGCATCGGCGTTCGGCCCCAGCATGGACATTCAACATCTCTCACAATCACAATGCAACATTAGTGGGCCGGGCGGCTTGATCCGTGGCGGTCCTGCATTCAAAGTGCCCAGGAGAACACCAATCACTCTCCCAGTCCGACGTGGCACCTTGGGAGGAGCCAGTTGATAGGGGAAGAGGAGACAGGTCGCACACTCGGGACGGCGTCGAAGTTTGTTCAACCCAGATATGGTCCCCCTGCACGCTTTGGGCGCCTCGGCGAAACAGGACGAGCGGCTGAACATGGCTAAGGCTGGAGGTTGCAAAGGAAAACATGGTCCTTTCCCTCAATACATTACATCAGATGGGGAGGAGCTAGGCCAAGCACAACACTGTCTTCAAACTCTCCGAATTTCGACTTGTGGCTATTGAGCAACATACGTCCTTGGCATCACCAATGGCCCGCCCGGTCCCACAGGGACAACTACCCAAATTACGGTTTTGTCTGTTTCGTAACATTGGAGGAAACTTCAAGTCCGATTTGGATTTTTACACCTTCACATGCTTTGTGCCGTGGATACCAACTTTACCGTCGTTATCTTTCCACGTCTCTTCGAGGTCTTGTCCCGCTGCTTCACCGCAACAATCACTGTTGGATTCCAGATACAGAGTATTTCAATGCACTCTGCACCTCTCGTAGCATCCCTCCCATGGTGATTGGTGGTTTACATGACATCTGTTCTTGGTCGTTTAACAGCTTGATTTCAAGCCCAGGGACGTCCTAGGTACATAGTCCTCCGCTGGCGAAACTGTTACCATCTCGTGGAGAGACGCAAACAGCTACTCCGTACTGCTGTTTGAAATTTGATGCCGAGGCAAGCTTCATAGTCATTTTCGATTTGGTCTCCGTGTGGGAGACTCTTTTCTGATTGACTTTGGAGAGTCTACGCTTGAACAAAATCGAAATACCGGCTCTTTGAACACTCACTTTCTGGTAGAAGAGTATTCACTCCCCTGATAGTGGTTCCCTACAGCCGAAAACCAATTTCCTGATTGCTTCGATGCCAAGAGGACCTTTTAAGAGACAGCTTGTGCTAACTAAGCCTGGCAGCATAACTTAATCTTAGTCGTTTCAGCCGATTCTCTTGGCTGTTCTCCTCTTGACCTCCGCTTAGACTGCTCGCAAATCCGCCGGGTGCCACTGCCGAGAATCCATTCATTTTAAACTAGACCGAGACCCATTGTGAGCACTCTTGACAAATTACCGGTCCGAAATGCCTGGCCCTACGTGACAAGGTTGGGACTCCAGGCACAACAGAAGGTTTCATCAGCATAAATATTCCGGGGATGAACGTGGACATGGCCAAGAATCTGCCCGCCTCCAAGGAGTAGTAGACGCCATCTGTCATTCAGGTTTTAAAAAAACGTGGCGCACGCAACCTTGCGGTGAGGACCAGTTTATGTCACCACACCGCATATGGACGTGTTTTCGCCATTCTCACGCAGTTTAGGCATGCATAGCAAAGAAAACTTGTCGTAAACTGCTCAACGATCAAGGGCAACGAGGACGTCGGTCAAGCGGTGAAAAGGGAAAGGCTGCATACTCCTCTCTCGCGGCCAACATCTCTGTCATGCAAGAACCAACTTTTCGCCCCCGCCCCCTCTGCCTCTTCCCTGGTAGGTCAAGTTGGATAACCCAGGCCAGGGGTTCAGCAGGACAAGTATTTTGCACTATGGTATACAGCCTACTTTACCCGCTTCTGCTTCGCATTGCCAAGATCAGCTCCGCCTCGTTATAAACAGCCGGTAAGGCGTAGTGTTTAATAGGGAGTGGCTTGGCTGTGAACAAAGACAAGGCTGAATTCAGGCATCTCTTCCTCCAAATGCCGAAGTGAAAGGAAGATCAGCAAGGGCGTGCCGGCAACCGACTGGCATCATTGGTTGTTCGTAATGCGGGATTTGTCCGTTGAGCGACGAGCCGTTCGGAGTATTAACTAGTGGATGTCTTTTTGTCTTGATATCAGAACAAGTCGTACTCCTCCCAGCCGCAGAAATCCCTGCTTCGGGTTGCCATTAGCCGTTTTGGCCATATCTCAGTTTGTGAATGACCGAACGACCGGTTCGTCATGACCACGACGCGGTGAAACAAAGCATTCCCGATTTCACGAAAAAAGCAACTAATGGGATGAAGGAACAGCTTGACCGGTAAAAAAAATGCGGCTTTGCGCCTGCCGAGCCCAAAATAGCTCTGTCTCGACGCGGACTTATGTTGAGGCAAAACCCTTGATTCTCTTTGATGGCGATACTGTGCAACATCTACACCCGCAGATATTCAAGATGCAACAAGAAAAAGCAATCAAATTACTCCGGGCTGCAATTTCCACCCCAGCTGCATCTGGATTGTACTTATTCCCTGCACGGTATGCACGCAATATAAGCACTTACGAGTTGTACGACATGCTCGTTTTGCCATGGCGTCAACCTGTGTGACGGCTCAAGGGCCGGAGGGCATGTTTTCGTGATTTCTGTAATCAGATGCGGCAGGTAACACGATGACCGGGGGCGGGATGTGGGATCTGCTGTGCATCCGTACACGTCGGTGAAGTGGTGATGAGTTTCGGACATGGGCTGACGTGTGTTGAGGTGTCTGCCAATTTGTCAAGGCAGCGTGAGCCGTGATTTCGTTCTGTTGGAGTTGTATAGGACCCTTGCGTGGGGAAATGTCTTACAATACGGGGAGGTGAGACAATGGATATTGCCCGAGATTCGACGTCACTGCAGCATCTTATCTGGTGTTGCGGTAATGCAGTCATTTCCTGGCCGGACTAATTGGGATATCATGCCATGATTCCATTTAAGATGAACCCGTGGTGAGCCAAAGGTCCTCACTCGAGCAGAAGTTGGTCGTGGAATGGACCTTTACTGGTGTAGTATGTGCCTAGAGTGCCTGTTTTATATCTGTATTACCTTCCAAGGCGTACTTTTGCCCATGGCTACTCGTAGTAGCCGTACGTGGACCAGAATGAGTGAAGAGCTCCAACTCTACATGAGGGTTCTTCCTCGAGGGTTTGTTGTTTTTGTAGTTGGCCCTGCGAGGCTGTCAGAGGAGAGCACCATTATCAGTGGCTGGGGACACTCTTTCCCTCTAGAAGTCATTCATGGCTTGCGCAATTATCTTCGTACTCGTGTTCTCAAGTGAATGAAAACGGAGCTTTGCCTCATCAACTCGTCGCGGCACTGCCACCAGTAGTGTTCGATCAAGTAAATACACCCGTCCTTCATCTTTGGAATGAAGAGTTTCAAGTCCCCGTTGGTGTTAATAAAAGAGATGCCCTGTGAAGTCTATTA